GTCTTTTTTAAAGACAAAAATTTTTGAGGCGAAATACCCAAAAAGAAGTTTGTAAAAAATGAATCCGCCTCAACAATATAGAACTTATCTAAAAAAATGTTATTACGGTGAATTAATCAAATGGTGATTTACAGGCTGCTATGGATTGGGCGTCATCGAGCCTGCTTTATACAAAAGCACTTTGGACTTGGATGAAATGTCTTGGCCAGAAGGACACATTGGTAGAATTTGGTTTTCTCTCAGATACGAGCCATCGACTGAGAAGCTTCTGGTGTCTTTGCTGAAAGCCAAGAATTTGCCGTCACGCAACATGGGTACTGTTAATAACTGCGACCCTTTCGTAAGGTAAAATTAAAAAGTTATGACTTTTAAAACCGATTTTTCGCTTCGAAAAACGTTCCTGTTCAACTGAAGTTATTTTGTTTGTTATTTCATATTTATTTCGATTAAATCCCCCATCCTACGATTTTCCATTTTTCTTAAAATCATTTGCCCATTAAATTTCCTCTGCTGGAAGCAGAGCACTGCCTTGAGTCAATATTGAGGAGAAATATTTCGCTAGAGGGTATAAAAACGTTAGCAGAACTTTGGCGCAAAATGATATATCGCCCTCATGATTTTTCCATCTCGCAAAAGACGCCACAGCTCAAACGTGCATTATTTCGGTATTATTAGTTTACTGGAATGGAAGCTCTTCAGTTCAATGTGGGTTTAAGAGAAATGTTATCAAAATAGAAATGTCAAAAATCAACGTGTTTTCCATATAAAATACGTTGAAACTCAATTTCCTTAATGTTTAAAGAAATTTGTCGTAAAAAATAGTTAATATGCGTTAGAACATCGAAGCGGTTTCATGACAAAACACAATTATGTCCTTAAAATTATGTATTAAAGGCACGTGTCTGCGACATAGGACTAAATTTATGTGAAGTGTTTGTAGGAGAACAATGCAATTTCCCATCTTGAATAACTCTAACTATAATTCTCGCTTTTGGAAACTTTCGGCTATTTGCGCTGCAGAACCTGGGAGTATATTTTTTTCGTTTGCTTCACATTCAAATTATCTAGTTAATTGCCTGACTAATAAATGTTGGTTTAATTTAGTTCAATTATCGAAATTATACTGTTAGCATGGTACATAATGCTGTTAAAATGGAACATACAAGCAGTGCAGGAAAGCTAATTAAACATACAGCTTAAATAAACCAAATATTCGAAAGTAATTGTGAAGTTAAAGGGAGGTTTTTAAGTATTTTTATCCTCCGCTTCAGTTAACTAAAACAAAGTTGTTTTTCGTGCTAAATGTGCCATTAAAGATAAATGGAAATGTAGCGTTGGAAACAGATCTGCGCCCACAATGAGCCTTGTGTTTGCAAACACAGAAAATGCGAAAACAATATATTTATTTTCATGATTCAAATACTTTCGTTCTATTCCAAAGAAACATCTGTTTTTGTTTCAGGCTTCATTTGATGCCAGACGAAAGGCGATATTTGCAATCGAAACAAAAGAAAAAGACCTGCAACCCCTATTTCGATGAAACTCTGGTTTTCCAGGTAAATTTATGTTGTTTTTAACCGTATCATGAAGGATCCCCAAATGGGCAATTGACATTGTAGTTAATTTAAACGGCCGCCACTCTTTCTGTATGTAAATTGCTGCAACGCGAATTGCAATGGGAATTACATGCATTAAAGTTTTATTGAATGTGGCTTTTCGCAAATGCATATAAAATCCAATGACACCGAGATTGAAAACTGTTGAAATAGCCTTTAAGGTCATTCACTCTCGTGAATAAATGTCGTGTGCTTTTTCTATAAGAGATTTTTTAATAGATCAGCCAGAAACAATATTTTAATGGAAAAGTTCTCATAAAACTCTGGAAAATCTATAAAAATGTCTTAAAACTTAGCAAACACACATTTCGATGATCAACAAACAGTTTATTTATTCGTTTGTCTTTAAACGGACGTTATTTTATAGAACAAATCACTGATTAAAATATCACCTAAGCATTTTCCTTCCATTTCAAACTTAAGTTAATCGTAGGTAAATGTTGAAACTTTCAGGTTTCCCAGAAAGATATGGTTGATCATATCCTGAAGCTGATTGTAATCGATGGGGGAAGGGCAAAGCGTTTTGCAGAAATCGGCCATGTAACTTATCCGTTGAAGGAGCTGGAAATTGGAGATGGTTGCGAACAGCAACTGTTTAAAATGGACTTAGTGAAGGTAACTGAAATTGATTTTGTATACTAAATTATTTTTATAAACAAAATGATATTTCCGAAAAGCATGTAGAAGGAATTGCAAATCAAAGAGCAAAATATAAAAAATCTCTTCAACATATCCAGCCTGTCTAATCAGGCAAAACTGGTTAACCCGAAGACACTTAGATAATTACTTCTTTAGGCAACACCTAATTAAGTTGATGTCTCTTTGATTTTATCCCAGAAACCACCAAGTTTAGAAACTACTTTTATCTTCACCAGCTATTGCTTAATGTAGACCTCAACGGTTCTTCAAAGCTATTTATTATATCATCAATCGAGACGAGAAAATTGTGAAGCTATTGCAGTTCAAAAGCAATTTTTGCGCTTTGATTCAAAGATAATGAATTTGCCTATTGACTGCGTTATTGCAAAAACGACCATACTCAGCCGAGCAGAAACATCTAATAAACAACAAACATTTGACTAAAGATTTCCAATTTTCAAGTATAATCGAATATTTATACGCATAACAGGAAGGAAGTGGTGGACTTGCTGTTGGAAATGTAATAATTAAGAGAAAACTTGATTCAATTAGTTTATGTAATTAACTAGAAAGTAAAAATAGTTGTTTTGCGTCCTGTATGGTTCAAAGGGAAAGCGCCATACTAATTTTCATTAAATAATGCCTTGTTTGATATTGTATAATTTTTTCTAACTTAATTCAAATTAATTATTGGATTCGACTTTTGCCGGAAACAATCGAAAAATTTACAGCTCACCGAAATATGCTTCAGACAATCATTTAGATAGATTAAAGTAAAATTTCTTTTGTATACAGGATGTGGTTAGAAGGTTGTTTTAAAAGGGGTGGAATCAAAAATTACACTTTAAATACACTGAATCCCTTTGCACATTATTGTGAAACGCCCTGTATATAGTTGGGGGGAACTGTTACATTAATCCTATTTTTTGAGGGTTTATGTTTTGCCAGTAAAACTTTTGGCATGAGATAATTTTTTATTTCCTTAGGAATCTTATGAAATGAGCTCCGACTTRGGAGAACTGTTGGTTTCGCTACTCTACAATGAAAACCTTAGCCGACTCACAGCTACTGTAATTGAAGCAAGAAGATTGAAGGTAAGTGGAAAAAAWTATTTGTTTTGAGAAGCAGAGGTAATGTTGTAATGTAGGTTGTTTCTGCATAAGCAGCGGCAAATGMTAAGGGATTTGTGCGTGAATAATATTTTCTCTTTTGCCCAAAAATATTYGAGAGAMMAAGMGGAGGGTCTRAAATTTTTGCAATKGCACAGATCGCTTCCGAGAAATTTGAAAAATATTATTAATCGGTTTTTATATGTGATYTTTTACGCACTTTTYATATATTTTAGGTTGAATTGCGTWTATTTAGGACACGCGTAAACCGTTCCTCATCTGCATCTTTAGACTTTAGGCAATCGTCCRTTACCATATTCGGTTATTTAGACTTTTTTCGATGTCCAAATGAAACAGGAAATTTGCTGACAAAACMTCACTTTACGACTTACTTTTTTAAAAATAAATGACGGGTTTAGGGGTTTTAAAGCGAAATTCGACACCTTTTAGGAGAAATGCACCACGATAGAATCTGATATTATTTGATCCCAAAGAAAAAAGTGTTTTTGAATACGCTGTTGAGACAAAAAGTAGAATGTAAAGTGTGTTTTTTGCCGTTAATCCAATCACTTTCTTAAAGGCGGCCAATGCACTATGTACCTATTAACATAGAAACGCCAAATGCTACAAGAGTAGGTAACATTCAACGAGGTTCAATATCGAGTGTATTAAAGAAAATATCGACAATATTGAACTGTATGTTAAACTGTATTGCTTCCGATTTATTTCAAAAGGTTTATGCTAATTTAAAATACAGAAAATGTTCAACAAAGCACAGAAGAAACACAGTCTACAATGAGATTCAGCTTCAGAGCGCAATGAAACCCGGTATGGATTTTAAACGCAAATGAGGCATGTTTGTTCCATATAGATTAAATAAACTCGGTTGACAAAGTCTTGCAAATAAAGTGCCGATCATACAGCGACTGAAACATAATAATAATATTGAAACTGGAAAGTTTTCCTCAGGCATGTCTGAAGATGCAAAGCAATTGAGCTTGCGAAATGTGTGGAACAAATTATTTTCCATAACGACTTAAAAGCACAAAAAACTTGCCAGTTTTTAGCGAACCTCGTCAATGCTTTTGGTTGATTGTTGTCCAACAGCTCAATATCAGATTCTTAAGCCTAAAATAATGGCAAGTAATTTGCAAATATCTAAGTCCAGAAACAGTGTAGTTTCCATTTAGTGTTTTTAACATAAATGGCTTTATAAGCTCGTTGATTATCCATCAGAACTACAATAACTCTCGATCGTTGCATAAGCACAAACAAGGCGACGCTTTTTACCAATTTCTTCTGCTGTGGATGGAGTATCACTGCAATCTTTGGCCGGGCTGTTGGTTTGTTCAGTCCGAAATGGAAAGTAATAGTAAACACTAGGCAGTCTCGGTGCAATTGCCATAATCGCTATTATTGTTGCATAACGAGTTTGTGATCTCAGCAGTCACTAATCGGTTTTTTAGTGCCAATCTTGGATTAGTAGAAAACAAAATTTCGAGTTCGAAAGGTAAGTGTTTTTGCCACATGAGAATATTTTGAAAACCCTTCGGTTTGTAAGGAATTTTTAATAAATTCAGCAGAATGAACGCGCCAAAAACCCTCCCTCGCATAGACCCCTATGTAAAACCACCAGCCGCCACCAATGGAATATCACCAAAAATCAGCCAACTGCATCAAATCTACACTCAGCAACCCAAAGCCTCTAAGCAACAGCAAAATGAACTGAAAAAGAAATCTGATTACAACAGCTTGGAGGACATCCAAATAGCAGCAACAACAGCAATAAAAGGGGAAGACAGACGTATTCCTAGACGCTTAATTATGGACCCGAGCGGAAAACCCCGGAGTAAAAATGTGACTAGTACAGTGAATAGTAAATTTGAGGAATTGAGCAAAAGAGCGGACGATTTGGAGCAAAAGCCATCGAATCAAAGGGAACTCAATTTGGACAACAAAAGCACGAACAGTGATTTGCAAGCAAACATTGACGCGGATGTTGAGAGAATTAGCAGGTATATGGACTCGATAATTGATATTGAAGATGAGGAAAACAATGGCTATGAGAAGAACAGAGCAAAGCAGTGCTTGGACATTTCCAGGAGAGCATTTAATAGTGGCCGAACAAGAAAACTGGCTTTTAGAGAAAAGCAGCTGAAAGGTAGGAAATTTAAGCAACATAAACTGCAAGTCAGGAAGAAATTTCGCAGGAAACAGTTTTCAATTAAAATTTCCTGCAATTTTTGCACTAGAATTTTAAAGCAGTAGCAGTTTTACAGTTTCTTTATTTCTCAAGTTTAGCGCACCCTGTTGAAGACCGTAGGTATTTCGAAGAAAGAATATTTTAATTTTGCTTTTTTATCAAGTTATTAAATTAAAAGCCTGAAATTGAATAAGATATTTGCTAACAATATTTTTTTGTCACGGGATTTGAACGAGTTCAAAAACAAAAGGTGGCTTTTTAAATTTATCGGCGTGTTATTTATTTGGACCTTTTCAAGTCCAGGTGCTTAATTAAATTTGCTGCAAGTTTAATCAACATTTCGCCGAGATCAGGAAAATTTATAGTTTTAAAATGCTGGCTTGTTTAGACCTCCTTAGAGCCAATTAAGCGTCCAGAAGATGCCTAAGTAAATATGAAGAAAGGTGATAACTTTTGTAAAAGCGACTTGTGATTTTCGTTCTATACAAATCCCATTCGTCGTCAAAACAGCAAAAAAATCGTAAGAAACATTATCATCATGAAATTAAAGTGATTAAGGAAGTAAAGTGCTCCAAAAGGAAACATTACACAGAGAAAATTAACTTAATCATTCGGACTATTAAGAGAAAAAATAGAGTATATGAAAACGCGGATTGTGGAGTGAAGTGAGATTTTATTAATGAAAGAAGGATGATGAATAAGACTCAAAAACTTCTGTTTGTTAAGGATCTCACTAATTTAGTTTTAATATTTTGTCTATTCATATATGATTTTTTATAAATTTCTATGGGCTTAAAAACTCACAGTGCATAAGAAAATTCATTAAAAATACTACGAAGTGTAACATATTTACACAGTTGAATTAAATAGGCAAACTATGGACAAATGCAGCTAACAATTTCTATTAAATAAACAAACTGAAACCAATTCCAAAAACCGTTTAAAAAGTTGTCACATTTTAGGTCTAATTTTGCAGTATCTTTAACTTTATTCTCTGCCTTTTTTTATTTTGCCTGCTTCTAAACGCAAGCTAAACACGAAATCAGTCAATTTTTCGTGCACTTCAATATTATGTTAGTTGCCAAAAGACTGAAATGTTTTGTTCCAAGCGCGAAGTTTTCATTGAAACACTTTTGTAATGCCTTTTTGCATTTTTACTCAGATTATTTTATCTAATTCAAATAATAAAGCCTAGTTTCACTTTGATTAATTCATTAATTCTAAAACAGACGGTTTGGGGGCGTATTATATAATAAAACCATACGTTGCTTTTCATATTAACATCGTTACTACAAATCACTTTCAACCAAACGGTCAAAGTTCTTTAGAAAGTAAACAGTTCAATTTAATTTACCATGGCAAATATTATCTCTTTGTAACTATTTTCTAAATTTTTAAGCCTTTTAGAATCGGTCACTTTTGCATTTAAATAGAAAACATAATTTCATTATTATATAATGAAGAAGCACCAAAATAGCAGAGCATTACATAAGGTATTATGCCTTAAAATAAATAATTTACTTTAAGCTTAGCTGTAAAATATTAGATGTTTTCGTGTTAAAAAAAATCGTTTTTGCTTTTTTGCCATTCAAATTAGCCAGTTTAATACCCCATAGCAATTGGATTAGAATGCAGATGGATCGTAATCAACTACCCATATTGAGAAATTACCCGGTAATTCTTGCATCGAAAGTATGTTTTGATTAAAAACAACTTTCACCTAAAAATGGAAATTTGCATTGCTGATTTAATCGTTTCAAGGCAATTTACAGTTTACAATGTCGTCCAAATTGCCATGCTAAACTGAAACTGAAAGTTTCAATCGCTTTAACATGGTAACAAGCTAAACTGCAACTTGTGGGCGATGGCTTGATTCAAAGCTGCAACTTTGTGTTAGTTGCATTTCAAAATCCCTGCAAAGGAAAACTCTTTAAGGTTTGTTGAAATTCTTGGAGAATCATCGAACGGAGATAGAAGATGCCGTTTACAAGGATCTCAGGAAACATAGGCAAGAAACTAATATTTCTGAAATTGAACTAGTAGCAAACGATCTAAGGCATACTTTGCTCAAGTTGAAAGCATGGGTTGGACCAGAAAGGCCCCAAAAAAGGTAAGATATCTATTTACAACAACCCTATTATATAATTATGAAGCAATTTTAGGATTATAAACTTCCTGGATAATGCGTACATTTACAACGACCCTTATGGAGTGGTTCTCATCATCGGAGCATGGAACTATCCAATTTTGCTAACTTTAGGACCATTAGTCGGCAAGTTGCAAAACATTAGTTTATTGTGTTTAATTTCCAAATACACACAGATTAATTAATTATAACTTTGCGGCGCTCGGCCATGAATAATCTATTCAAATCAAATGATTTATTTAAAACTTACTGACTATAAACAGCGTGCAAGTTTAGCTGTAATATTCACACAAAAAAGCTTAATATGCGAATTTGCATTTTCATAATCAATTATCCGGTTAAAAGACCGATTTTTGCAAATTCTGGTACTCGTAATAGTCGAGGAATTTTTTACTTTATGTTGCTTAGGCTGTTGAATAAACAGAAGGAACAGGGACTTTCTAATCTATTAGGTTAGTAATCGAACAGAACTTTGTTTTTTCTTAATGTTCGATTGCGTTTCTAAACTAAAAGAATAATCAATATTTTACTCTAAAACTCACTAGCAGCGTGCGTAAAGCGCCAAAAGACGAAATAAGTTACTTAAAAATCCAAATATTTCAATAAAAAAAAATGCGAACGAAAATTAGCTCAACAATTATTTTGAGCTGAAAATATTTTCTTCAGTCTTCAATTGTTGTTTAAGTTCTTTATTTGCCCCAATATCAAGTACCTCTTAAATTGCACTCATATTTTATGTTAAGCGAATTACAGTTTTATTATTCGATTAGAGAATAACCATATTTCATGCATTTTTAGGAGCTTTAGCCGGAGGAAATACAGTGATTCTTAAGCCTTCTGAACTGGCGCCAGCCACCAACAAACTCTTATCGGAGGTTTTAATCAATTACCTCGATCATGAGTGTTTTCAAATATACTTAGGAGGATCTCAAGAAACTACAGAGCTACTGAAAGAGAAATTTGACTATATTTTCTTTACCGGCTCGTCGAAAATTGGACAGCGAGTTTATCAAGCTGCCGCCAAAAATATCACGCCTTGCACTTTAGGTAAAATTAAAACAGTTTAGTAAGAAACTATTTTGAACAAATGTGGTCTACTTTCCTTTATAGAATTAGGTGGGAAATGCCCTTTATACATTGATAACACTGTAGATATGTACAAAACAGCTAAAAGAGCGCTTTGGGGAAGAATGTTAAACAGTGGGCAAACGTGCGTAGCACCAGACTACATTCTATGCACTAAGGAAGTTGAGGAAAAGTTTATCAAGGAGTCTGAAAAAGTACTGAAGCAATTTTGGGGCGACGATCCCAGTAAATCTTCGAGTCTAAGCAGAATCGTATCGGAAAGCCACTATAGAAGGCTTATAGAGTTCCTAAAAAATGAGCACGTGGCTCTGGGAGGCCATACAAATGATCAAGAGTTAATTATGGGCCCAACTATCCTAACTGATGTGGATCCGCAAAGTCCTGTAATGGAGGAGGAAATTTTTGGGCCAATATTCCCCATTATCAACATTCACACCGCCCAAGAAGCGATCGACTTTATCAACTCGCGGGAGAAACCATTAGCTCTGTATGTATTTACGAAAAATAAACGAGTGCAAAATATGTTCCTAACAAAAACTTCGAGTGGAGGAGTTTCGATAAACGACACAATATCTCATATAAGTACCGAAAATCTACCTTTTGGAGGAGTTGGGCTGAGCGGCATGGGAAACTATCATGGAAAGTTTGGCTTTGATACGTTCACCCATAAAAAAGGAGTGCTCCTCAAAGACCTTGGAGGCATTTCCGAAATGGCACTAAATCTGCGATACCCGCCGTATTCCAACAAGAAAACCAACCTTATTAATATAGTATTGCGAAAAAGGCGTGGAATTTATTTGGGATTTTTGGATCGAGTTTTTATATTTTTGCTTGGAGTGCTTTTAGCTTTTTTGTTACAGTTTTATGTCAATATTTTTTAGCGAATTTCGGTGTCAATTTCCGCCTGTGTTAAATCAGTAGAAGCGAATAATAAATATTTGAAATAGAAAAAATATGTTTTTGCTTGCAGTTTTCATAGTTTTTCTTTGAAAATTGCATATAACAAAGCAATTATTTAATATTAGAAGCGGTGCAAAAATAACACTATAAAGCCAGGGCTGAACTTCTTCAGTAGTGGCTGTTGCTACTAAAAAAATAAGGAAGTTTGAGAACTGAGAGAATAGTAAGAAGATTACTATTAAAGAAGGAGAAAGAGAGTAGTAGAGTAGAGTCGGTAGAGAGAAGAAACATTAACTGTGGTAAAAGAATTATAATAAACATTTATTACTTGAATTACTATTCGCTTTTACTTACATCTTCACTTAGTTTGTAAATCATGATTTTACTCACTTAAAGTTTCATTAAAAGTAAGATCAGAAAAGCAAGGATTTTTTCTGGAACAAGCTTAATTGGGGAAAAAATAAATCTTTATTTTTCGATAATGGAATTTTTGCAGAAGATATACAGAGGAAATGCAGGTTTTTAATATTCAAAATATTGAAGGCTTTTTGGAGGAAAATTGGTACATATATTATTGCCTGGAAGTTTACTATAGTCGAATGAATGCACTGTAATTTCAACAGGTTTCGATGTAAATGAGAAATCAATTAATCAGTTTTGTAAAGTTGGTTCGAAATATTTCCGTGTAAAGCAGAAAATGTCCGAGAAATTGCCAATATAGAGCTCAAAAATTATGTTGATCATTTGAAAAAATACATTTGCGAGAGCAAATTAAAGAATGTTAATGAAAAAATTATCGAAAGTGAAAAAGATAATTTTTTGGCTAAAAAGAGTGTCTAGACAAAAGTACTTTTATATAAAATGTATTTTATTTAATATCAGGGAACATCACATAGAAATTTGTAGCTTCTGTGAACATGAATATTTCGAACAAAATGCCCTAATTTTAATCTGAAAAAACGTACCTAAACGCAACTCATCAGTACATAATAAACCTAAACCCTAAGAACTATCACAAGTACCGACACTTCAGAAATACAGAATTAGGTCTTATATTTTAAAAAACCAAAACTTCTTCAACAGTGCCCGAAAGGTAACTCCAAATTTGCACCACTAATTACGCGTAGATCGTGTTTAAATATCACAATAATTCTAATAAATGCGTACATTATTATTAATAACTTGATAAATATGTTATTCCTTCTGCTCAAAGTGCTTAGTAACGTAAAACCCCCCAACAGTAATTCCTGCCCCTAAAGCAAACACCACCACATAAGAAAACATTCTTGTAAAGTTGATGCTTCTGCTTAACATCGTGGTGGCAAATTTCAGCAGTTTTGTGTTCTTTTCGCTGTATGGAGGATATCGTGGAGACTGAGCCGTTTCACCAATTGCATTGAAACTTCGCAACAAAACCGACTTTTTATGGACAAAAGTGTCGAAACTCTTCTTGCCGTGGTAGCTGCCCATTCCGCTACTTCCCACGCCCCCAAACGGAAGAGAGTCAACGGTGATATGCATTAAAACATCGTTAATACACACTCCTCCACTGCTGGTGTTTTCTATAAATAAGTCTTTCGTCTTTTGACTCTTAGTGAAAATATACAAAGCCAAGGGTTTGTCACGTTCGTTGATAAATTTCACTGCATCTTCAGCGTCTTTGACGCGCACAATTGGTAAAACTGGTCCAAAGATTTCTTCATTCATGACGTCTGAATTTGGTTTAACATCCACAAGTATCGTGGGTGATATGTACAGTTCGCCAGCATCAACATTGCCACCCAGCGCCAGTTTTTGGTTTTTCAAAAGATTGCAAACCCTACAATTAATGGTTAAATTTTTTTTCTGACAGCAAATAAATGAGCTTCACCACCTAATAAAGCTCCTTTCATTAACCATTCGACCCAAATTTTCAGACTGTTTGATGCTGTTGCCGTAGAATTCATGTATGCACTTTTCGGCGCATTTGAGGAATTTTTCCTCCACTTCTTGGGTACAGAGAATATAGTCGGGAGCCACACAAGTTTGGCCGCAATTGGTAAACTTTCCCCAAATTATCCTTTTGGTGGCCATTTCAATATCAGCTAGAGAAATTCAACTGATAATCTTTCATGTAAAATCGCTCTGCGAGTTCTTACCAGTAGAATCAATAAAGGTCGGGCTTTTTCCTCCCAGCTCCAAAGTGCAAGGTGTCAAATGGTTTGCAGCTGCTTTGTGGATGATTTTTCCGACTGTGGTCGAGCCAGTGTAAAATATATAATCAAACCTGCAAAAAAAGTGTACATACTTAATTYTGTTTTATTTTTATACGCGCGAACCTTTGCCAAATATTTATTCCAGATTTTAAAATCYTTCAACCTCAATTGTTTGATGAGGAATGAATAGTTCTTTCTATTCATGACTCTGCAGGTTGGGGTAGCAAAACATGCTCAAACACACCAACTTTGGTATCTTGTTTTTTGAATCTACATTTGATAGAGTGTTTATTAAACACGGTTGAAACTTTTGATTTATAAATAAAAATTGTCTGCGGCGTCAATTTTATTTGCGTTAGTTTTATTTGTTAAATGATTCAAATGTGGACTAACTTATTGAAATTGTGTCTGTCAATATTGTGCCTCTAAACTGTGGTTTAGCAAAAAACACACACATAAAATCGTTTTATAAATGTGCTTTTCTTATGTTMATAAAATTTKGCTATCAAAGAACAGAAATGACGGCAACTGTAAAAAACCTACTCCCACTCACCTAGTGGATYAACTACAGCCAGACAGAGCAATTAACGATYGTGATTTAAAAGATTAACAAGAACATGAATAATAAGATTRGGAAAAACTGGTTAATTGTTTTGATYCGAACGGCATGRATCAATGCAGTAGAAACAGCCATTTTTAGCAAATTGGAAATTCACAAATTTTGTTGCTGCGGGAAAAATTGTTCATTAACTCTTTCAAGAAATTTCGATAGTAATTTTGACAAATAAATGAGCCTCTGCAGTTAATTTGCGACATGCTTAAAAGTTAAACTTTGGAACAGTTACGTAGCAATTATGCAATAGTTTCATTGACGTTAATTTTGCAAAAGAATAAGTTCCATAGTAAATATTTATGCAGAACATTTACTCTGTGAATGAATATGAATACCATTTTCAACAGTTGCCTTCTTTATCCTGTATAGTCCTTGTCTAAATTAATTTTGCTGTTTAACATTTGAGCGGTTAAATTTCAAGGAAACCACTTAAAGCAGCATTTTGTCTGCGATTCATCCTCCTTAATTAATGATTATCAATAGTTAGTATTACGAAAATTAGTGAGTATCGAAATCAAAATCCAGCGATAAAATTTCGATGGTTTAATCTGTAAAAGTTGAGAAAAAATTAAAGCTCTTGAAGCCAAGTATGAAACATCTTATTCACAATTTTCCACATATTTCGGGTTGAAGAAAAAATGACCTGGAACAAACCAACTTCCAAAAAAGTGACCTAATCTATTGTTTATTAAACACTCGACAAGAGTTGCAATAGAAACAAAAAACGATGTGTTTGAACGGGTTTTTGTAAATCGACCAGAGCAACCTTAACTAATTTAAAAGTTGGGAAGGTTTAATTACCGTTCTTTTAATAGATCTGTTGTTTCTGGAATACCACCCAAATATACGGGGTAACAGTCCTTGTCAAGATATTTGGGCAAGAGATCATGCATAATTCGTGATGTGTGTGTTGATTGATCGGACGGCTTAATAACACAGCAATTTCCGGCAGCAATAGCACCTGGAATAGACTCGATTATTTGTTAAACTATAAATAACAGGATTTATCGATTTTTTTGCGTTCGCTGATTATTCAAAAATTCCCTCATAGCCTTGATCAAAGGTGGACTCCAGTATGCAATTTCATCAGCGACATAATTTTAGCTTCCCTACTTAAATTAATTACAAGGAAAACTGCATCTTAGATTCACGCCATTGGCTTTAATTAGTTTAATTGGAGAACCATCATATCAATAGACGCTAAAAATGGAGCCAAACGCAGTAAACAAGCTATTAGAAATAAATAGGCGCAATTTTCTGGAAATTGGAATACGCATTAACATCAGCAGGCCATAAAATGAAATCAAGGCTATGATTAAAAGTCGACAAATTTTTATTGAATATATTTTAGTTACATATAGATTTTGTGACTTACCTACAAGTGGACTCAATGTCAGGTTGACTGGATAGTTCCACGCCCCCATAACAAGAACCACCCCCAGTGGATCAGAATACACTTTAATCTTATCAAAAAAGTTCAACAAAGGTTTTTCCGGAACTTCCGGCTTCATCCACTCTTTGAGGTGTTTGATTGCATAGTCAATTTCCACAATCACAAAGTTTATTTCGAGGATGTAGGATTCTTGCTCAGGTTTCCTGTATAAATCCCATATGTTTATCCAATTTCGAATATTTTATTTGCCTACCTTAAGTCGTCGTGCAAAGCTTTGCATATTACCGGGCCATTTTCCACCAGAAATAATCTCAGATTCTTTAGCTGCCCTAATCGGAATTCATACGGCTTAGTTTTGCCACTATTGAAGGCTGTTCGGGCTTGCGAAACTACATCGGAGGCGGAATGTTTTTCGAAGTTATTCGAAGTCTCCATGTCGATGACAGATACGTGATTGGAGCCGTTATGCGAATACTGGACCCTAAACATGCATCAAATTCTTGAAAAAAAAAGGCGAATTTTCCCGGTTTTTGATGTGTTTCATTAATTAAATGGGTTTTCGATGAGACTCATTCGGGCAAATGACAAAATCGATCGCTTTGTTTTGAAAATGACCAGAAGTTTTACTAACAATGGCTCATTAAATTATCATTTGCGTTGTTAATAAGCGAGCTTTCAAATTATACGGTTCATGTCTGCCTATGTTGGAGACGCTAATAACTGCTTTGTAGATATAATGTTCAATGTTGAACTTTATCTTTTGTTCGATGTTTACAGCACTTACATTGAAGGGCGTGAAACTTATAGTGAAGTAAATAACTGTTAATATGTTTTCTTCAAATTGCGTCTCTAGGTGTTCAATCTGCACCACTTCCCTTCATTATTGTAACAAATTGGATACATGTGCATAAATACGCTTTTGTTTAATATTCAATTTCATGTTTTGCCCGATGGATCCTAGATCCATTGGTGAAGGCAATCGACACTTTTTCTTTGAAAATGAGCACTTACCTTGGCAAAATGAATTCACCATCAGTCATTGTGAATAAGTTAAAAACCAAACAGCTTTTTCGAGTTTCAAGTTAAACCACTTTAGGCGTCTAGTGTCTGCAAAAGGAAAACTATTCGTGACAACTAAACAGAATAGTTTGAACGCTCAAAAGCACTCAGATAATATATTGATCTTGCTAATGTGCGTCGAGTTCACGAGCAGTTTAAAGTCATTGCCATAAAATGTTTCAATATTTAAAAATTGTTGCCAGCCTGCAAAAAAACATCACAAAGCCAGCGCAAATTAAAAAAATTGTGATTAATTTCCTGATGATGGCTGAAAATCAATTATTCGGTTGTAAAAGAAACTTTTCTCTAGAAACCAGCAGCCAAAAGTAACTATGCAGCTTCAGTGACTACTGACTAAATAAATACCTAACAACGCCSCGCAAAATAAATTAAAAAAATTGTTAAAAAGAGCCTAATGGTGTTTAAAAAATCAAACGCTTCTTAGTAGAAATAAATGTGAATACAAATAGCACCCAGATTCAATTATTGAAGYTTACTGACCCCTGAAGAAGTAAATCTCAAACACCCATACATAAACAACCTCACAAGCAAAATGCAAATTTGAAACTTTTTCGAAAATTCATGAATAACGAATGAAAATCAAAACTTTGTGCGCTTATAGGTGGGAGTTTCCTTTACAATGCCAGCCAAAAACAACTCCCTGATTTTACCAGCTTCTGAAGAAATACATTCTAAACACCCCTACAAAAGCAACCTCGCAAGCCCTATGCAAGTGTGAAATTTTCTGAAAAATTGACGAATCATCATTGAAAACCAAACTTTGTGGGCTTATGTGGGAAGTTTCCTCTACAATTGGCCTGCAAAAGCAACCACTCAAACTAAAAGCAACTTTGAAGAATTGTCAAAAGTTTCCTGATGACGACTGATAATCGAAAAGTTGTTTAATTGCAGAAGGGACTTTAAAAGTAAAGTTAGAAAGATAGCTAAAAGCAACTTTCTACCTTTACTAGCTTTAATAGAAATGAATAAATACCTGCGAGCAAGAAAACCTCCCAAATCAAATGCAAATTTGGAAATTTTTCAAAAACTGATGAATAAGGAATGAATATCAAAATACCTAAAAAATCAACCTCAAGAACCAAACGCAATTTATAAACCCTGTTAAAAATGTCTGATGATGACTGAAATTCGAAACTTTGTAAAATGTTCTGCACAAACAGCATGTGACCATGTTGCAGTTAAATGTTTTTTTTAATAAAAGCCACATTTACATAAACTTTGTCAAATAAAGCGAACTAAATAAGAGCAGAATAAAAGCACAATCTTGCTGCTCTTTTAAAATTGTATATGCACTTATCTAGCAGGGTTCGAAGCAAGTAAAAAATGGCCAATAGGACTATAATTAATAATCACTTTCACTTTAAATCTAAAAATCATCTACATAATTGATAACTTACCGCCTTGTTGTCGGGGAGTTTAAGACGTTTACTGGAATGCAAGATTTTTTCTGTCCTCTGATTCGTTCTTATTTGTTCACGGTTGATTTAGTGATAAATTTTATGGAACTTTTCAATATCATAATAAACATTTTACGCAAGGACACCCTCCTAATAAAATTGCTGCTTTACGATTCCGATTAAGCGCTGCATGAAACGCGGATTTGCCTGAATTGTTTATAAAGTTACCCAAAATATCTAGTTGAATTGAAACTAGATTGTGATGAATGAACTGCAGAAATTAATGACAAAAGATACAAATAAGTGCACTTACGTATGTAATGAACCGCAGCTGGTATCTTTTTGATCGAAGTGTACAACAATCACTCACCTGATAAAGTCGAAAAACTCGAATAGAAAAACCCGGAATCAAAGGTCTTCTTGCCAACCTTCCAACTGGACATTAAAAACAAAAGTCCCACGGTCGAGGACATAGAAAATATATTTCCAATCAAACCGACTCTTATTAAGTGAACTGCGCCTGTTATATGCTTTTGCATTGCCATTGGATGAGACGTAGTTCTTAATTAGTTGCACTTTTTGCCTGATATTAACAAAACAGCATATTAACTATTTAAATGTTTCGGAATGATTATCTGAATGTCGAAAGCCTAGATAAGAGTAAGAAGGTTGGACGTTTTTTGGGATATATCAGTATCAATTGATTGCGATTGTTGTAAAAGTATGCGAGTTCAAGATGGTTTTATGACTTATTGATAAATTGGACAACAAACATCCAGGGCTAAAGATAGAATTGTAGTTATCATTGAAATGCACCATTCGCAAGGTTGATTCAACCAATATGTTTTGCGATCCTCAACCATTTGGCTGGTTTTACTAGTGTTTCCATTTAAACGACAAGTCGGAAACCTGTTAATTTGTACATTATTTCACGCTAAAAATAATGACAAATTGATGCAAAAAATATGTTTCAATTGCTTGGCAAGGTAATTATGTTTTTAACAAACAAACCAGGCTCAAAGTCCTTAAAATAGAACCAGCGAAAAAATCTAAATGCTGCATCACTTTGAGGATCAAAAAATATAGCTGTGTTTGTTTGTCAATTGTTTTTCTGTTAATATCAGATGAAGACCAGCTAAAGTTTCTGAAGATGAAAGTTGAGGGTTCGATGGTGGCAAAATTTCTGGAAGATCAGTAGACTCAAGATTCGAGTCAAGGATTTGAAAAATTTCGGGCATTTGATACATTTTTTGTTAATATTATAAAAACAATTATATATGCATAACATTTTAGATCTCCACTTTATTAGTTTAAAAAAAAAATCATTCTAGAAAATATATTCCATCACAGAATAGTTGGATAAAGGGGAAATTATCACCAATTGTTTCTTTCCAACGAATAAATTATTTTAAAAGAACTCGAAAATGCAAGATAGTTTGACTAATTTTGAATTTGAAACCGCATTTAAATGCGTTTTCTCGTGACAAGTCCAAAATTTCTAAACGAAAATATAACTTGAAATAATTCAAAGTTTGTTGAGAACAAATGTTATATAAAGTTTCATATTTCACTTGCACTGGAAATATTTGTTCATGCTTCAGCTGTTGGTGTATATTTGAGCTAACGATTGCTTCTTCTCCAGGAATTTACTAAAATATAAATGAATAAAGGAACGTTATCAATTAATTTTAAATAGTTTCTAGATTCTACATTGTACATGTTACGAGCATTAGCAAAACAGTAGATTTTCAGCTCCTGATGTATATTTCAAAAAATGTTTGCTTAATCTGTATAAATATTTCAGGGATCATTCTGACGACGATGATAATCGATGATTTTATTTAAATAAATCTATTCCAAACTGACTTAATTCCAACTAGAAACTAGAAAACCATTCGTGTGTCGTTTCATTTAAAAAGTTTCTAAACATGTAGTTGAAATTGTTTTATAATAAAAATGACTGCCAGTATTTGCAATATTTTTTAGAAAACTTAAAAAATCCAAAGAAAAATTAAAACATCACTAACAAAACGAAAGAATGAACCATCAGAGAACAAATGCAAAATATAAAAAAGGAATATTATCAATATAATCAGAAAATATTCAATAGTTCCACTTGCAGCCTAAACTTGTAATAATTGATTCGACTGTTTTTAAGTTATTCATATCAACTAAATGCTCCTGAAATGTTGCTTAGCAAGTTTGCCACTAAAATAAAACATAATTAAATTATTTTTTAAATAAGTATTCATGGTCAGCTTCAAAGCATTCCATTTATATCATATTTATCTTTTTTTTCTCCATTCCGTTGTTCGTTTACTTGCCGGTTGTCAGAATTCAGTCTAAAAATATTAATTTATTGGTTGTTAATAGCGGAAAGACTAAACCAAATAACTTATGCATGCATTTCCTGCAAATTCTGCAATTTCCAATTACATAAAGCGGATTATTGCTTCGGGTGACAATAAGTAGGTTTATGTGGACATTTTTTTCAATAATTTTTGGCAAAATATTACTTTTGTTGCGCGTTCTGTGCAAATTTCTATGCATTCAAATTTGGAAATCATCTAATAAGGACAACAAAGTTTTTGGTATTATTCACAACTTAAAAGCTAATTTTGAACTTGAGATCAATCAGTCAACTGAATTGGATCCACTTCACTTAAATCTCACTGATAGTAAACTACAAATGAAAATTCATTATTTTCCAAATTTTCCACTTATTTCATGCAGCACAAAGCAAAAGGTTCACAATAGAAGCAAACTTTTTCAATTATCTATCACTTAAGAAGCAGTTAAATTCCGAATCACAACAGGTTTAAACGCTACATACCTTCTCATTCCACACAAGTCAATCAACTAAATGTGTTCTCTTTTAGTGTCGCTTATCAATTTTAATTAATAATAGCAATAACTATTTTTATTGAAATAACGAGAGCGCTTATCCGTGAATCACTGACCCAAACGCAAGGCTTGTCTTGGTTTTGTTATCAAATTTTAGAATGATTATTTACTGATATCGGAGATTGATCAGTAGGAATTTACGTTGCAAATCCGAAAAAACAATGAAAAATTATGCTTCAAATTGCAATTAATTTCTTTTGCCATAGATACTCTACCAAAAATAGATAGTTAAAGCTAAGGAGATGGGAGACTTAAAACAAAGGAGAGTTAAAATTAAGAAACTGATTCAGGCCTCAGGGCGGTAAAGATTCCGTGGTCACACAATTTGTATAAATTACTACTGTTGAAAGCAAAACGGAAAACAAGGTATTAAGGTTGAACAATTTGCCGAAATCAATCAACTTTTCGAATAAGCTTTAAAGCTTTTATGTGTGTTTAAACCATAAAATTGTAAGTCAGTATTTGAAGGTAAAAACAAATGTCGTTAATAATTTGGTTCATTTTATATATATTTGGTTCGTTTAACTCAAGCACATTTGTTGACAAAAGTTCAACTAGATTCTTCAACTTCTTTGTCAGAACGATTCAATTTAAAGTTATTTTGAAACGAAATTAGCATGAAGCAAATAAACACAGTCTATAAAATTATCAAAAAATATTCTCTGAGAAGATTCATCGGAGGTTGACGATATCAACCTCAGATTAAATTTGGTATTAACATGGCAAAAAAATTTGCATCTTCCCAAACCTTGTCCTCCAAAGTGTCCTAAAAAAGTTAAATATTCTTGTTTTCTTTTAGTTTCAAGGTGATAAGCATGAAGCCTACGTTCGCCTCACTCTGCATCAGCATTATAGAGCAGTGAAGGAAAAACGCACCAACATAGCGAAACCTTCACGTGAAGGCAACGTTTGCTTTGCTGAAGGTTTCAACTTTAAGATGGCCAGTGCTCAGGCTGATGTCAGCAGTCTGGCTTTCCATGTGTTTCAACACACCTCCGGATATGGTAAGGGTGCGTGTCGTGTTTGTTTAGTCCTGTTTGATTGGTTTCGTTTAATTTTGGTTTTGTTTCCATTTTTTTCATTTGTGTGTCTCTCTTATTGTTTATTTTCCCGTTTTTCTTTTATGTTCCACTTTCGTACGTACCGATAAGCACCCTATAAAAAACCAACATTGTTATTGTCAGCTGTTACCGCTAGTTTCAGTTTTAACGAGTTTTTTACACAATCCGACGACTTTTGTAAAGTATTTTTTTACGTTTGTACAGTTTCTTGCTTACATTACATTCGATTCGTATTGGCTTGAAACACGCTACCAAATTCGCTTCAACACTATTTAATTGTTGAGGCTTCATTGATTCAATCGTAATTATATATTTATGCATTAACTTAGTTATGTAAGTCTACGTAATTCATAATCCATGCATTCATTACATTTATATAATACATACATAAATAATTTTTCTTGACGATAGAGGAAATAATGCAAATTACTTGCAGATCATTTTCATACGCTTTTCGTATTCTACAGTGATTAATATTTGCCGATAGGGATTATGTAAAATTAATGTATATTGATACTTGAAAGTAACCAAGGAATAGACGACAGGGCTGACACACTTTTGACTATCAATATTTTATTATGTTTATATAACTCTGGAAACTAATAAAGTTGCAATCCTTTTTAACTTGCAATCCATTTAAAACTGCTTTAAAAAACATTAACGTTTTATTGGATTGCAAGTAGCTGGATTTTATTTCCATTTATATCATGGAGCAATACAGATTTCATAAAGTGTTCCCTATAAAAACATGATGAATGGCGAAAATTTCCTTCTAAAATTTTTCCCGTAAGTGGCTAACGCAATGGGTTTTATTAAGTGTGTTTACAGACCCGAATAAAAGGAAAGATCAGCGGCACGACAAATTGCGAAACTACACTATTTAAGATTAATTTTGAATATTGATTTTTATAGTTATTTTCCAATAGGGTAATCAAATAAAACTATAAACCTTGTACCTACTTATAATGCTTATGTTCGATATTAATCCGAAACATTACAATTAATTTTATTCATGCTGCATTTTGCAATTTTCTAAATATATTTGCAACCCAAATGTTAAGCTTAACAAGTGCATCGATTAACTTTTTGAAGAGCTTTTGCAATAGATTTGTTTCCTGGTGTTCAGGTTTATAATTACTATGATGCAGAAGGAAGGTAGATTTGGTAAAAATATTTTCTTATGCAGATTTATAAAAAAAAAATATTTTGAATATTGAATGAATTCTTTATTGAGTCAATTTTTCAATTTTCCAGAAGATATTTTAAGCGATAGTTTGCTATCGATCTAACACACTAACTCTTGAATGTGAAAAGTAAAAAAAAAATTATCTAAAATCTATTTCCTTGTGTATCATTTAGATATTTTTGTATTTCAAACGGGTTTTGATATACAAAAAATACTTTTTAGTGTCATTTGTAGATTGTGCACGTTATTTAGTAAATAGGGTACGCAGTTAAAGCTCACTTCACCTTAAAATTTACTATAGCAGCTAATGATTTGCAATTAAATTTACTTTTTAAGGTGTATCTATTTTTGCTGTTTTACAAAAAATATCAGAACGCTTTATTATCCAAAACTACATACAAACACCCTCAAATTCATACAAAAAAATAATTTTCAATTGATCTCTTTTTACCTAGAAATTTGTTCTAGACATTTTCTGATGATTTTCTCATAATTAGGTACAGTTTCATTTTACAATCATTCAATAAAATAGCCAAAAAAAAATTAACTTTAATTCACAGATTGCATAGAGAGCAATTATAAAATTTAACAACTGAAATGAGTTGATCAGACTGTACTTGTAGGACCAAATATATTTTTACATTTTTTGTTCAGATAAGCTGATCGGAAAAGTTGTACTGGGATCATACATGTTTACCAGAGGAAAAGCCCTCAACCAATGGAACACGGCTATTGCACGTCCTATGGAACATAGTCAATGCTGGCATACTCTATCAGAATAAATTATTTAAAACATATACTAATTTCATGCTCCATCTATTATTAAGGCATGCATTTAGGTCAAGTTTTGGTTGAAACTTTCATAGAATAATTAAATGAATGCAAATTTAGATATCTAAGTATTGACGTCAATTTTCAAAAGATAATTGTATTTGAGGCAACAGAGTGAAGCTTGAGGTTGCATCAATCGATCTCTTTCTTTAAAAATTAAATGAACTGGCTGGAAGTACAAAGTAATTTCTAGGCATAGGTAAAATAATTACCGACTTTAAATCTATGATTTTGCTTTCAAGTCTTTAATTGCTATAAGAATTCATAATTGTCTTCGTTTGAATAGCAGACAACTCTAATGATCTTGAAAGTTTAATTTGACTTTAGTCACTGATAACTAGTGCTTTGTATCTTAAACGGATAGTTTGAAACAAGTAAAAAATTTAAGGAGTTCAAACCTGACATGCCTTGCCTTGAAAACACTTTTTCCGTCTTAACTCTTTTTTTTTACTTTATTAAATTAATTTTTCAATTTTTTCTGGCAGCTAAATTGCAGATTGAAAATGGAAAAGTTCGCTATCAAATTATTAATTAATATTTGCGAGTTAAAAGCTAAAGGAATTGTGGTCAATGTATGTTGGATGTTGGGTTATTTTTATAGGGCACATGTTTTCACATCAATTATTTGGCGAGTTTTCTGTTGATTTCAATGCATGAAATTTATGAAAAATTTACTGTTTTATCAAGTTTTTCACAGTTTATTAATTGAAATTTCAAATGAAAAAATCAGTTTTTTGCTCTCGAGCCTTTAGACTTAATAAAAGATTTATAAAAGCAACAAGGAAAAAAATTGATATCTGCTAAATTAATCGAAGGCGGTACATTAATAGTTTTGAATCAATTATTTAAAAACGGTGCAAAAATAAAGATCTATCTATTACCTCAAAAAGGTAAACATCCGTTTAGTTGCGTTAGAGGATTCCCCCTATTTTAAGTCTTATTTTCATGCATAATCACTAATGTTTCAATTTAATAATTTGAAGCAAAAAGTACAAATATCAACTATAATTGAAAACCATTAGAATTGTGGAAATTTTGAAAGGTCAAAAAACCAAAAATATGTGCAAAGCTTACTATGTATGTTAAATTTAATTATAGATTAATGTACTTCAGTCCTAGTCTTAAGAGAACTACTTTATGTGCAGGGTATCTTGAAATATGGGTGTATTTTTTTGTTCAGTCAATTTTTCATATTTTACAATTTAAAAAATTTATTAGGAAATCAGTTCGATCTAGATAAGTATTGTCTTGCAAAATGTTTGAACTGCCTGTATTAAACATTTAAAGTTGGCGACTAAAACCTTAAATGTTAATTTTGCAAATGTATAAAACACATTTTTCATTTTGTTTTGATTATTTATTTCTTGGGTTTAAGTGTGTAATATCGGCCCAGAAATATATATTATAACTATTTATTAATAAATGCAAATTTTATGTAAAAATATATGCTGTAGTTGTACCAAAATAAAATAAATATTTCTATCAATGGATATCATTTTTTATTACTACGACCCCATAAACTTTAAAATGAGTTATGGATTGTTCAAATAGTATACCTACATTTGTCAGCCAATAAATCTTCAAGTTAAAAGTATTTGTCTAAAAGTGTGTTTTTACATTAAACGAAAGAAAAAAGGAGTTCGAATGTTTTTGACGAAAAGCTGAATAAATTGAAATCATGTTAATCATATGTCTTTTGCAGGAGAATGTTTTATTAGAACCGTTACATAAATGTTAATAATAAAATCAAATAGCAAACTTATAGGAACGCGATTCTAAAACTAAAATAAGTTGTTATAATTAAATATGTTACTAATTCTAAAGTACAAATATTCCACTATAACCAAATAAATACAGAAGAGAATGAGAAGATAGATTCAATCAGACTTTAAACTCAATTAGTGAAGAAAGAGCACAAAGAGGTGCAAATGCAAACCAAATTTTTCCTCTTTTCCATTTAGTCCCCAGTCATCATTTCCATGAATTCTAGAATAAGGAAAACAATCACAATTGGCTTGAATCGCAGTTTTCTTAATCTTACCATCAAAATCGACTGTACCAGACCCATCCGTATCGATTTCCGCAATTATACCGTCCAGCTCTCTTGTGGTCAATTTATCATCTAGAGCACGAAGAATTTCTTTGAGGGTGCCTGTGGTAATATAACCATTTCCCTCTTTGTCGTAGAGCCTTAAATGCCACAGTGAGAATAGCATGAATAATAATTAACAATTAGCAAAATATAGTTAATATCAAAGATAAAATAAAGTTTTTGATTAGTATGGAAGGCAGATTGCAGAGAAATTAGTGGCAAACTTTGCGACACAATGTCTAGTTTCTTGGAGAAAATTACAGAACTTACAGAAAATTAGTTGTTGGAAACTAAAACGAACCTGCAGTGAAACAAATCAAGACTTTGATAATTTTTTTGAGTGAGTACTTTGAAACTATTAATAGATTTGGTACCTAAATGCTTCCTTTAGCTCTTGTTGCGTCGATTCGGCATCATCCTCTTCTAAGAAATGAATGGCAATATCACAAAACCCATCGAAATTCACTTTTCCCGAATGATCCGAATCATTTTTCCTGATCAGATTGTTCAACTCCGCCTCGTCAAAAAGTTGGCCCATTGTGTTCAGAATGGTGGCGATTTTCACCGTTTCAATAAATCCCGATTTGGATGTATCGAACATTTGGAACGCTTTGCGAATGATCGCTAACTTTTGTTCGTCATCTGATGCCTGAAAATTGTCAGAAAAGAACATGTAAGTATTATTTAATTCAAATTATAATTACCATCTTTTAGTTCTCGGAGGAGGCAAATGCGATTATTTTCAGCAATTTTTTGAAAATGCCCGTTTACTTACTGCACCGAGCTGTACAATGTGTAATTGCTATATACCCGCTCAAAGGTAATAGTTGTTTTCTTTGGGGAAGCTAAATTTGTCAAGTTTTCCTCAAACGACTAGAAAATCATGCTCGTACGTTTCGCGTAACTTGCCCAGCGCAAATCTGAATATCTTCTGCTTTCTTTAAACTTTTGCTCACGAATTTCCTCAAAGAGATTTAACTAACTTCTGCAACTAATTGTGTGCTTCAACTGAAAATTTTCTGTTGTTACTTTAATTAATTATGTTGAGTTAATGTGCACTGAAAGTGTTCGACCTAAATGTACAAAAATAACGAATATTTAGTATGATTAACCACACAAGTTCAAAGAGTAAATTAAATGTTCAATGGTGGCTACATTCTTAAGTTCTGAATAACGAGCAGCATATCCTGAATGAATCCATTCCTTCCCCGTTTTTCTAAGTGTGGAAATTTCATGCTGTCAGTTCGCTTTGCATCATCAGCATTCCAAATCAGCGAAACATCGGCTTTTTGAAAACATCCATAACACTAAACCAACCAATTAGCCGAGCTATAAAAATAGGTATTTAAAAATAAAAATTCGGTGTTCTAGATTAAGAATTCAGTATTCCAATAACACATATATGAAAATAGTGGGTGTTTTATAGAGGGTTTTAAGTTTAATTGAAACTTTTACAGTTTATCACTGTTTGGACGGTTTGTTGATTGATTGAATGATTGCTCTATGCTTTTATGTTTATTTTCGTGGATAGTGGGAAAATGATTTGAAATCTTGAGTAAGCTTTGATTTTTGCTTATTATGTAGATTAATTTGAACAAACGAATTAGTTCCATTCAGAAAATGTATTGCTTCCTTTACCAACCACAAGATTATGAAAATTTTCATATTTCTGAAGAAAAACTACTGTAAATTCTGAGTAAATGGGTCATTAAGGGTTAAAAGCCCTTGTTCTCATGAAAAACTAACCACGAAACAACAACTACAAAAGCCAGGGTTTTATGGCCAAAGCTGTAAACTACTGATGAAGTAAGAAAAACACAGCATTTTGTAGAGACTTTTTATTATTTTGTTAACAGTTCACCATTGTACAACTTATAAATAGTAGTCTTTTGCAGAAAACAAGGGAATATGGTAGGTATAATACATCAGTAGTATGTACACATTTAAATAAATAACAACGTTTTAAAGGCAGGATAGTCTTCTTAGTCTCCAGTCATCATCTCCATGAATTCTGCAACAAAAGTATTTTCTATTGGTCCAAGTACTTCAAACAATATTTAGTTGCAAGACCAACCGAGCTCATCAATTTCATTTTATTAAATGTGCAAAAAAATGTATTAAATGTTTTCGGAAACTCTGGTGAACGAATGGACATGGAAGCTGAGATGAATTTGAATAATCCACAATTGTTCTTACAGGTTCAGGTCTTGTGCAGTTACAAAGAACTTGAACTTGTTGCAAAAACAAGAGATGATGGAAAATTCTACTAATTCTTGAAAACTTTACAACCAGAAACTGTTTAAAGTGTTCTGTATGTTAAGGAGATTAATATAATGTCGGATGAGTCGAAAATAATTTACCATCGAAGTCAACAGTTCCAGAACCGTCAGTATCGATTTCTGCGATGATTCCATCCAAGTCTCTGCTGTTAAGATTGTCATCCAGAGCAGCCAAGATTTCCTTCAATGTTCCGGTTGTGATGTATCCATTTCCTTCCCTGTCGTACAATCTGTCGGAAATGGGTGAATTAGAAGAACCATGTTGCCAAAGACATTGAAGATATTTCTTACCTGAAAGCTTCTTTGAGTTCTTGCTGAGTGTTGGCGTCGTCGTCTTCCTCAAGGAAGTGAGAGGCAATTTCGGCGAATCCGTCAAAGTTGATTTTTCCAGAATGGTCAGGATCGTTTTTCCTGATCAAGCTGTTCAGTTCTTCTTCATCAAACAACTGACCCATGGTGTTCAAGATGGTGGCAATTTTGACCGTCTCGATGAACCCCGTTTTAGTGGTGTCAAACATCTGGAAGGCCTTGCGGATAACCGCCATTTTCTGATCATCGTCGGACGACTGAAACAACAAAAATTCTTAATTATTTATAATATTTCCTGAGCGCCAGTCAAACTAGACAACTTAATCGAGGATTCTCACAACCCAAAGTCTTCATACATGTTAAGAATATTATAATGCCTGCAAGAATTTCCATTTGATCTTCCAGATATCTTGAGTTGCTCCGTGGGCAGAAAAATAAGCATAGCAAACTTAAAATAAAATTTAATATTTTTAAACCGTTGATGGAATGGAATGGAATTTTGATCGTTAAAAAGGCATGTTGGATAAAAATCTTACTTTGCCTTTGACTAAAAGACTTGAGACTTGAAATTGCATTTATTCGGAAGACATTGCAATTAAAAACAGAATCTACATAATTAAAAAATCAAATGATCGCTTAAAAATTAAAAAAGTAATTTAAAAAATCCAGCTACAGTTAAATATATACCAGACTGAATAACAGACAAAAAAGTGTTCCAGCAATCAGAAAATCAAATAATTTCAGTCTATAAATATCCATACAGTAATTAAAAAAGAACGTTTACAACGTCGATATTTTATAAATATATATTATTTAGTAGCATTCCTGATAAATGTGACGTTCAGAATCTGGATGTTTAGTTATTAAGTCAAAATGGGATTATTTTCTTAGTCGGATCTTTAGATCCAGTTTGTAAACCCAATTCGCTCGAACGATATGCGCGAATTAAGTTTCTCATCATTAATATCAAAATATTTTAAGCAATTTAAAATTGATGGGCAAGAGTTAATCAACGTGTTATAAAGCGAATGGAATTTTTCCTTGGCGCCCACAAGATTCGAAGTAAATTTATGAAGTAAATGACAAAATTAACGGGAAATTTTACGATTTTCGAAGTGAATTATTACAAATTTTGCGATATTTATCTAGTGTAATTATAGGACGAAAGGCGTTTTGTCAAGATAGTCAAATTTATTGGCTCGAACAGTTGCACATTCTTGGCAATTGACCATGTTTCGTGGACTCGCTCGTTTTACGAAATCTTTATTATTTATCAAGATTTCAATTTCACGGACCGTTTGCAGGCACAATCCAGATCTCAAAATATCAATAACAAACCCATAAAATAGACACATTTTAAATTGAATCGACGTAATCATTAGTGGTACTTCGATGCGAATTATGCAAGTTTTGCTTACATTTAGTGGGATATTTAGACACACGTTTTTTTAATAAATTATATTGTTTGCAATGGTAACGAAATATAGATTATATATAGTAACGTAACGAAATATACATTATATATAGATAATATTGCCCCCTTGGCTATTTTTTTAACATTTTTTAATCTTCTGATCTCGGTTGCATGTAGTTACAAAAAACACACTTTCAAGCCGATAAATTACAACAGCAAGCAAATTTTAGGAATGAAGCTAAAACGGATAGAAATCTCAAATAATGACTAGGAGAAATAAAAGGTTCCACTTATAAAAAACATTGCTAAAGCCAAAAGCTAATAGTTAATAAAAACGAAACAATTTCAAAGAACTGGTTATCTTAAGCTTCTGATGAGCACAACGATTGTGATTTGAAACTTAAAAGAAAAGTTTTAAATTCGGTTTCAGTGAACTGCTATCTTTAATTCGTGAAATGAATTAATTCGAAGAGTCTCAGTTATGGTAGATTTCCAATGCAATTTTAGGTAGTTTAGCTAATCTTCGAATGCAATTGATGCAGAAACTCTGCTCGTAGAAAGATGAGATCGAAATGTCCGTTCGTGAATTTAGCGAAATCAAAAGGTCTCAACTATATTCAATTAATAATGCAATTGATGCGGAACTGTTGTTAATGGACAACATAAAATCAAACTTTTCTATTGGTTGTTATTGCGTAGTCGTCTTTAATTTGTAAACTCAAACGTTGCAAACTGTCTTAAATCTTCTAAAAGCCGAAATATTGTTAGTAGAAAGATGTCCATCGGTTATCATTGGTCAGTTATCTTTAATTCGTGATAGAAAAGTATTTATGGATTGAAAGCCACATTGTTTCACATTTCTGAATTGTGGCCAAAATCAGCAAATTTCGATCACTGTCCAATATTGAGGTCACCACCAGGTATAATCCAAACACTCGGTTCGCCCACACTTGAAGCAATTAAACTCGCTTTTGAAAACATACCATGATTGAGAGTCAATTGTTTGAATGCCAGTTAACACGAGTTAAAAGAGACACTAAAACGAATTTCTTCAAGTGGAACTTTTATAGTTATCCCCACTCTGAATTGAGAAAAAATTAGTGTGAAAATATGTTTGAAAGTATTTTGAGTTTTAACCGGCTATATAAATTACCTATACCACTAATAATGAACTAATTTTAAATATTTTAGAATCCTCTACAGGGTGGAACGTGTCTGATTCGAGTTGTCCACTCAGGATATAAATAGACGTGTCTTGTTGACTGGGATTTTCAACTAGTAGAAATGGGGAAACCGAAAAAACTGGCTATAATACAAGTGCCAAATTATATATTTAAATACATTGTTGAATAACGTACTATAGGCCAGGATTAATACAAAATGGTTAGTTACATCCTGTATTCTCACCGAAAAACGTTTATTTTTAAAACCGTCTAGAAATGATAGACGATTTTACTGTCAAACCGCTGGATTTAGGTAGATTCAAACGCAACTGCATTAGATTTTGGTAAATTATGTAGTCTCGAGTCCACTCATTAGTCACAGTTTTGGCAAAGAACCTCTTCAATGAGAAAATCGAATGAAAACACACGGAAACGATTTATTAGATGTGTAACGATCATTTCTATGCTGGTGGTGGAAGAATTTATGTCTTCCATTTGCATAAGAAATCATCTATTTTAAGCTAATGCTTGCGTTCGATATTTATTGTGAGCATAAGAGGCCCATCAATCAGTTAATGGTTTATTGGTTTTTTACATCAGACGTTTTTTTCAGTATCAAATCAAAAAGCTCCTGGAATCTTCACAAGAACTTATCTAAATAACCTGGAAATTTGGAAGTTTCTGCTGTTTGATGTAAAAAAAATGATTATTAAAAAACTAAACCACTCATTCCATGACAAATCATACACGAGTAAGTGTTTCACATACCGGAAGCGAAAATAAACAGAAAAAACAAACACGAAATATTTGAGCCAATTTACAATATTTAATTTTAGTCCGGCTAATTAGACAGTTTGTTTCTTCAAATCGCTTCAAAGAAAACTTGAAAAATGTTAGTAGACCATTAAGGTTGTGGCGAAATTTTAATTACAGTGTGGGTGATTTGGAATAGTTGATTTTTCGACTAGTTTTGATCACTTTAATTTGCCACACATAAACATCAATATTTTTCATATAGTGTCTGGAACTGAAGGGCCAAAGATTCAGGAAGTGATTATACATATTATGAACAAAAACGTACTTTTTCTAAAACGAATATTTTCTAGAGTTTCTAACAGCTCATATCAACGAAATAAAGACATTTCCATAAAGTGCTTTGAAAAGAAACGTTGTTTTTCAAAATATAATTGAAAGTTTTATGACAATCACTAACATCGTTTAGCAACAATTTTATGGCGTCTTTCTTCTATGCATCGACCGATTATTCTTAAGAAGTAGCTAACTTTACCGTGGTGAATGGTGGAAAATCATAAAAGTTAAAAAACAATTGCGAGCATCTTCTTTCGTTACAAGGATTGCTCACAAAATCCAAGAATATCTTACTATTGAATCTTCGTCGCATGAACAACAAGAGAATCGATCAACTGAGGATTTTGATTTTGATCATATTTGGAGCAAATTTTTCAAGAAATTTTCGTCAGGATCATTCAGTTCCATGATCATACTGTACAAACTACCGAAACAAGTTCAAAATGTGCTCACTTTGATATTAATTGAACAATTTTGCCCATTTTTGTTTTAGTTGACCATCTTGGTCCTTTGACTATTATTTCCATGGTAAGAAAAGTTGATTCTTCACTTTTCAAAACACCCTGTGTATTAGTGTTTTATGTAAAATTAAAATATGGTCGAAATTTTGAAACTGCGTCTTTTCGTGAACATCCGCCACTTTCAATTACTGATTTATCTTTATAATTGACGAAATTACAGCATTTATTACTAGAAAGTTCGCGCTTGCATTGCCACCAAATATGTGGCTGAACGATCGAACCTTTGAAACAAAAAACCGATTGGCCTGCTAAAAGCCCAGAAATTAATCCTATTGATCATCTATGCGATGAAATTTAGCAACAAAGAACAATACATTTAATTTTTTTACAAGCTTCTTGTTGGGTATTTCGCCTCAAAAATTTTTGTCTTTAAAAAAGACAGAATTTCCTCACGTCTTCTATTACAGATTGATAAATAGTGCTCCTATTTCGCAATAAAGACGAATTATTTATCAAAAAGTAAGTAAGAACTATCACCTATAGGGTATCCTGCGACACACTTAGGCTCAAGCTGTAAGAGAAAATTCCAATTAGTAAAAAAATTAATTTGAAAAATTACCTTAAATAATTAATAATAATATTAATACATTTAATTTCGTGTATTTCTCCCAGGCTGTAATATGTTAGATATTTGAACTTTTTCGCTTCATATAAAAAACGAAATGTGAAAAACACAGGGCAATTGGCACCTAAATCTGCCGTAATTTTGTTAATTTGGAAGATAAACGCGTAATTTGAAGCAAATTTTCAGGAAGTACTCCGTTTCAAAACGATTGACCTCATTTTAGTTTCAAGTAAAACGATAACGCACAGAGCGCTTCAAAAAAATATATGAAAATTGCTGCTCAATGTTTTGTCAATTACTTTTCATGAAAAGTGAATCAACATTTCTTACCCTTGAAATAATAGCGAAAGAATCAAACTACCAACTACGGAAAAAAATATAAAAATCGGCTAATTAAGGCAAAAATTAGAAAGGTTTGAAAACCAAATCAGGTGCGTTAGTTATTTTGGATTTTCGCGAACTTGAAACATGATATTTCCATAGTACAATCCATCTACTGACATTTTTTTGAATGATTTCTGGACGCCCTGTAACATGAACATGCTAATTTAATAATAAAGCATTTGTGGTTTTTGAAAATTTTCCGAAAATGTGTCAACTGTTCGCTAATTAGATTATATTGTCGAACGACTTCATAATCTATTGCATTCCGATTATTTTAGAAATATTACAGCTGTTTGCCGGCCGCTCTAATAATAGACAATAATTACCTTACACCTTTCATTATGTCTGATGTTTTCGTAAAGTTTTTGAAAGCGCCGAGAAAATTAGGAACGGGGATAAGAACGGACGTGTCGGGTTGAGGTCGTTGATGTTTGCGGTGCCAAAAAGCCTCACGAAATTTATGTGCAAACAAATGGTTCCACATTCCCCATTAGTTTGAGGAAAATCGGGAAAATCCTGCTTGAAACCAATAGTTTTACGCTGAACAAACCATTCATAGGCATGATGAATCGAATTGTGTGTTTAGCAACGAACAATAAAGCGAAAATCTGTAATACTGATCTTGGAACCGTGCCACAAATGTGATAACGTGAATCTACTGTAATTTTCAGAAAAATATCCCAAAAACACGCCAAAAACGTGATCCAGTTGCTAAATTAGGTTTAATTAATTGTGTTGTATTTTTGAATTCCTTTATAACACAAGAAAACTATTGTTTTAAAATACAGCAAGAGGCATACCTACTGATTGTTTATTGAACCTTAAAGGGATTGAAAAATATAGAAGCCGAAAGATTTGTAGTAATAGAAAGCCTTAATTTTGCAGCTCTAAAAAATGAGCTTTAACTCAAAATAAACCTGGAGCTTTCGCATTTTTCTTTAGAAAAACAGTTACAATTTTAGCAGTTTTTTTTAATGCCAACTTTTTAATATGCTTGGGGCATCTAGGTTTTCCAGCTTACACTACGAATTTCAATCGACTAAATCACGCACACAAAAATACGTTCAGCGGCGTTCTGCAAATGCAACTCTAATCTGTTTTTCGACTTGAATAGTATCGCGCAGATGGAGCCGCTTAGTCTGTAAGTAACAAATTTACCAAAAAAAAAACCAAAGTGGATATTTATTGAACATTTTTAAAATAATTAATTTTCTAATGGATTTTAATTGTTTTAACTGAAAATTCACTCATGATTAGATCTAGAATCTTGAAATTTCCAATTTTTTTCAACCAACAAGCCATCTTTCTCTTATTATCATATAAACCACTTTCTTTCGATCAAGTTTGAATTATTATACAAATTAATTACGCAATTCTTTGGTTAACATAAAACGTTAATATTAAAAGGTTATATTGCGGTCTAAACTAAATTAAAAAAATGTGTTTGCTTTCATTTCTTCTCATTTAAATAATCTGAGAAATCAGCCACTAATCGATCGATGAGAAGCCGATATTATTACGTTATTTACAAATGGAATAGTTACAGTTTTTCTTGTGACTGTTTCAATTAAAAGTTCAAAAACAAACAGACATTTTTTTACGAAAATAATGAAAAATTATTATTGTCGTAAATGACTTTAAAACGTGAAAATCTTTACTCCAAATTGATCGCCATTACCGTAACTAACAGAAAATACATACAGATAATGTTAGGAATAAAGGAAGATAAAAAATTAAAAGGCGATTGGAATGGCGGGGTTGGACAAAGACAAAAAAAATTGTAGCGGCAGAACTCGGCAGAAAAAGATGGAAAACCAGAGTAATAAAAACTTAAGTTGCTAAAAGAAAACAGAACAGAAAATTTTTAAATATTACTTAAAAAAGTTGCATTACACAAAAGTGTAGGTAATAAGAGAATTATAAAAACTTAATTTTAAAAATAACTAAAAAATTGTGTGATGTATGTGTGGTGGCTGCACGAAAGTAAAACGCTAATAAATAATGTTTTTTTTTTAAAACGCTAAAATTTTCTCAGTAAAAACTAACTCAGAAAAACTTAGAATAGAAACAAATAACAGGAAAAGCTGTAAAGGAAGCAAAGCAAATGGATTTAACTTTCACAGACCTAGAAGTATTGAGTAAAAGAATATTATAAAATTGATACGAAAAATAAATGGTATTAAAGATTGTGAGAACATCTATGGAAATAGTGATAGCAATACAGAACGGAAAGTTATTTTTTACATTTATGGACGAAAAAAATTGAAAATCGGCATTGATTTTAGCTGGATTTTTAGCCTTCAATCAGGTGAATAAAATGTTTTACATTCTACCCCTATGATAGTCATCAATAAGAAAAGAAAACACTTTAACGCATGTTCGTGATAAAAATTCTTGTCGGATAGGAAAGAACTTCCGCATTTTTATCAAAGGAAATCTATTAGATGTGACTATAAAACGTTAGATTTCGCGTAAAATTTCACTTTCCTTTATGTAATCATCGATACGTGCTGCTATTCAGTGATTGATTGAAAGTCGTAGACGACAGCAACAAATCGATATTCATTCCGCGAACTTTGCTGATTGTAATGATACCAGCTCGCATAGAATATAATAGAATCTAGAGTAGTTTTATGTAACTTTAGGTCTTGTAATTTTGTAATCGCTTTCAATGCGTTTTTCAAATTTGTATGTATTTGGTGGCGTCTATTTTTCGTTTAGGTCAATATGTCTGTTTACTCAGTTTTATCATTAACATATGATTATCAAAAACCCAATTAATAAACAAATTATCGCCCTGATTCAATTCAAATATTGTTTGGGAAATTACTTAGTATCAATATTTATTTACATGCAATGGTACACGTTACTCAACGGTACCAGTTATTGCTGCTACTGGCATTATTTAAACAATCCACTGCCAACATTTTGATGAGTGATTCATCCTTGGAACTAATAACGCATAGGAAACAAAAAAAGGGCAAGGGTTTATTTCCGTTTATTTTGATAAGAGTTTATTAGTCATTGAACCAAATGAGTTATAGACACAGATTGGACATCAAACAGGAAGCTCGAATTGGTTATCAAAAATTGTCAATACGAAAATTTGGTGACTCGATGTTAAAGTACTTCAACGAAGTAATTATTTAATTAATTGAATTAATTAAGAAACGAACGTCTATTTAATCTGCCAAATGAGCAGCAACAAAACATGTTACTGGCTAATTAATATATGTAATTGGCTAGGCATTGCTTAATTATCTCGCCTTTATTAACGGCATTAGCGCTCATTCAAGTCGTGAGCCCACACAGAAAATGCAGTTAATTTTATTGACTAGAATCATCTCATTATAACTGCTTGAACTTATGGATTATCAATAACTTTCTTATTTGCTTTTTTCAATTAAATCAATAATTTTACACTGCTTTTTACGTCATTTCAACGACAACATTTTAAAATCATTAGCATAACTATTTTCAAAGTTTCTATCTACTTTAGATACGCAACTACCCGTTAATATCACAAAGAAGTTGCGTGTTTGGTTTGAGTCCCCCATGCAATTGTTATATGACTCATTTTGAAAGTTTCCGTTAAAATTGGCGCCGGTTGTAAAAGGGAAACGGAAGGGTAAACTACAATTATATATTTATACGGGAAAATAAACACCGTTTCAAGCCAAAGCCCAGGAAATAACAGCAAAAATTTCATTGTTCTAAGAGGGTCGTTCAGCTAACAAATCGAGTATTCGACTATTTGTTAAGGCAAGCTGTTTTAGAAGTAGGACAATTATTCAACGAAAATGAAAAAAGATGCTAAACCAAACAGACTAGTAGATACTTATAAAATAATTTTTACATAATTTGATTGAAACAATAACTAAACATTAACAAAAAAAAATATTTAAATTAATGGCACCAAAACAATTTAAAAGAAACAGCCAATCAACGATAAACTTTGCATCGTCTTCTCGTCGAGACCTATTGAAACAAACGCATATCCTCCAAGGTTTCGAAGTGAAGAAAATAACAGAACCCTATGGAATTTTCACCTTTATGTACCTATCTACCTAGACCGATGGGTTCCGGTACCTTCCACCCCCATATATCACAGGAAACATCAAGGTGCGAGTTTATATACTGTGTCTGTTAGTGAATGTTTCCTCATTCTTGCGCAGATCGTTCGCGGTGGCAATCAGTTTGAAATACTGGCAATGTTTATATCAATTCACGTTTAAAATTCCATACATTCAGTTCGTGTTTCCAACAAAAGTATACTTCAGTGCTTTTCCCTTTGGCTGTTTTATTTGTACAGTGTTAACTGATAGCAATTAGCAAATATTCCACGTTTCTGCCTCAAATTCTTGCGATTCACTTTTCCGAGAAGGATCAACGACGAAAATGCCTGCTGATGAACTCACATCGATTTTAGTGAGGAGGCAAGAAATGAACGATGCACTTGACAATGGGCAAGAGGTGAAATTTAAATACAGGGTTGTCAACATTTATACGGAGTTTCACGAGTTTACCAGGAAGGAAATCAGGCAGTATGAGTCGATCTTCAAAAAGTAAGTTTTCGTATTTTTTGTGCCAAATTATTTTTCAGTCATACCATAGTTTTTATCATATCGAAACATAAAGAAATCATTTGAAATTCCGTTGATGTTCGGTGTTGAGTTTTCTGGAAACCTACAGGCTATAAACGTACAGAATGGCTTAGTTTCATTCCTCAAGAATTGTGTAGTGTTCTGTTGAAAAATAAAAACGTTTTAATTGCATTTATATTCCTGAACTTTAAGTTTAAAAAATTCCCAATATTAAACATGTTTGCCTAGTTTTTGCCAAACTTTTGAATCAACAGCGTACATAAGTATAAATCGAAGACATTGCAAAACCTCGAATAAAAATTACTAGTTTCTTTGGGTACAGACATTATATAAAAAAACTGCAAACGCCCAAGACACAACACCAAAACCCACTGCATTTTGCTAGAATAAAATTAAAAATAATAGAAAAAGATTAGAAAAACTTGTCTAAAATTGTTTACATTTTTGGAAATAACCACAGCAGATTGTAAAATAATCATTTTCACATTGACACACTTTTTTTGAAAAACAACGCTAACACCCACTTTGTACTACTTGTTATCCTGCTGAAGAACCAGCATTTATCTTAGTTCAGACAACAAAACAATGGCTTTATTTTTTTTTTTGATAAGAAATGGCATTTTCATTTCATGCTTATCAAGTCTTGGTAGTTGCAATTGAATCGAGTTGAAAACATTGACACACATGATTTAAGAAACTAATTTAGATCTTGAGCAACTATACATAGCTTTTTCATTGAAACCACTTAATTAAATTTCTAAAAAAGTTGTAAGTGGTATTTACAGAAAAGTTCTTTGCTGCTAATAATGATCTTCTAAACTGTTTCCCAAACCCATTGAGAAAGTTGATTTCTTTATTTGTTATTATGTCATCAAATAAAATGATTGCTGACCAGTTTGAATAAAAGTTTTAAAAATGCTGGTCGTCAAACTTGCAAGAAAATGTTTAAATGTGCTATGGAGTGCTACATTAATGCGTAAACTGCAGCACACAAGGGAATTGCGCTCAAATATATTTGAGAATTGTCCTTTTCTAAAATTAATTGGTAACTTTGGCTTAGAACTCGAAAACTGGAAGTCAGGATTTACGCTCTTCATTGATTTCATTGGTAATAAAATTTGATCATTTACTTGATTTTCTTTTGATTTGCAGCTTTGTAAGCTCATTTTCATATAATGACACTATTAAATTTAATGATTCAGCTAAATACGTGTTAATCAACAAAGCGGTATTTTATCATAAAATGCTCATAAACTACGTGTCCGGTACCGAAAGGTGTGAAACCCACCACATTAAATACTGATTATCATATACACTAATGTGTACGAGAAAAATACATTGATTATCCATAACTAACACTATTATTGCGTGGAGGCAGAAACTGATGGAGAACGACGAAATCTGCTTTTGCAGGTAGGAAATTCCGCAAAAGAACTAACATTCCAACAGCCGGTGGTTGTTTAATATCCCGCAGGTTTAGACATCGATTTTTTAAGTCGGTTTAAAAAAATTGTTATTCGACCCAAAATGGCGCAAATAAATAGCATTCGCGCAAAAAAATGGGTTTTGTCTATACGGTTTTGTCCAATGATTTCCATACAAATGTGTCTAAATTGGTGCAAAGAAGCATAAATATAGTGCTGAAGCTGATGAGTTTTTCTAGTTTTTAAACCGTTCTGGAAAATCATTTAATTATGAGTGGATTGCATCCTCAGACGTATTTGGCTCGAAAGGTTACACTGGACTGATTATGAGATGTTTTTGTAAGAAATGTTGGGATCAACAAACTTCTTTGTAAAACAATGAAAGTCCATCCTTAGTTGAGTGTAAGCATTCAAGTGTAACACATTTTTTGGCAGGCTAAATGCATAAAAATATTCATAGTTAAAAATGAGAACAAAAATCGGTTCGATTGTAAAACTGTGTGCATAGCGATGGTCTTCTCAGCTTAAAGCTCCAGATGTTTCTCCCGCAATATTCTTCTATAGGTAATTGTCCGAAGGTTTGTTTGTAGGCAGCAGGCAAAGCGTGCACATAAAATATCAATTGCCAGTTTTCTAATTTTAGAAATCATTTACCCCCGCAGCGGCTGTTCTGTTGTGTTTAATTACTTAAAATCAGGGTAAATCTATGCGGGTCAAGTTAAAAATAGCACAGCTTTGTAGCTACTGGAGGTTTGTCTGGCATATTGATTTCCAAATTAAGCACGACCTTGCCAAAAGTGCGTTTAAACAGCATCGAAATCAATAGCTAAATAATAAATTGATTACATTTTGAGCTCAGTGATTGCAATAAAACCGCTATATTCTGAAAACATTTTTAGCAAAAGTCTCTTATTTATGGGTCTAGTTTTATTTTTTTATTGGCGGTTTGGGTATTTATGTCTTTTATTAAGACCAAATGCTAAAATTAAAAAGCCGCAATATAACATAGAGGCACATTAATTTATTTACCTTAATTTTTTTTGTTTTTGTCTCATACTGGGGCGAAGAGCGAAAATATAAGATTTTAACAACAGTAGTACAGTGAGTTAAAAAAAATAATGATAACATTGTGTGTTTGATTCAAACTAATTAAGCATGCATTTGCAGAAAACTGTTAGATTTTTTATGTACCACATAAAAGGTCGTAACATTTAAAAAAATAATTGCTCAATTTACTTAGGTGCTACATTTTGCTTTTTAAAATAATAATTTTTGGAACTCCGTTTTTAACTTGTCTTTTTTTCATGCATTTAACCGTTACTGGCCCAGTAGCAAAAATAATAGATCGAATTTATGCATTTGTTACGTGATGTGCTGACACAGTTTTAATTAATATAATAACCGATCGTTCATGTAGCGAAAGTTTGATTAAATGGTTAAAAACTAAGACATGTGCTTGTAACCTGGTGCCCGGGTATTAGATTGCGTCTAATTAGTTATGAAATCCACTTATCGCTTTGTTGCGTATTGGGTTGTTAAGGTTTGTAACCAGATTATTAGCTATTCAGAAATTCCACATATTTAGAAAAAAAGCTTTCCAGCTAAGGGTTTGTGATTTATTTGTATTCACTGGCACAAATCCATTTGTTGTTATCACTGGCCTTTGTCCATTTAGAGTAATAACATGCCAATTAGCCTTGGGTGTAAACGCCAATGGTTTTTACGTATATATCTACTATCTTATTCACCATGCATGTGATTCATTTTCACATTGTCAGTATATTTACATATTCAGTTTTATGGGATACCACATGTATCATTGTTGATATTTAATGGCTCATATAAGTCATGCTTTCAAGGGAAATAGCGTGCATCGTTTTATCGGAATTGGTAACTTATCAGGATTTAAGAAAATGAACTTTAAAAGACAATGAAGAAGAAAAGCCTAAAATCTGAACTCGAAATCAAATTTGGGACGACGCCGTTTTTGTGTACAAAACCTATAATTAACTAAGCTTAAATTTGTAGAAAACATGTTTAATGTTTTTCTTAGAAAATTGCAAAGTCAATTCTTAATCATTTTCAATTTTTTCTCAGCCCTTAGAGCTTCACTACTTTGAGTTTATTTTAGATTTATGGAACCTTTATTCTAATTAATTTAATGGCATAAACTATTATGTTATAACTAAGTAACGTTTATTGTCCAAAAAAAATTCCCAAAACCATAGGAGAAAAATATGTTCATGTTTGAAGATAATTTTCTGTTTGCAACAAATCGCTTCTTCCTGAAAAGTTACGAACATTGAAAATTGCTTCTTAATTTTAGAAGGTAAAAGGAGAAATTCGAAAAATTATTAAATATTTATAGCCAACGTTATCATCTGCTGTCCATTTGCAAGCAAAATCTGTTTTCAAAACTTTTCCAATTTGAGGAAAATATTGAAAACAGCATAAAATTCCCATAGCCAACCGTTAAATTAAAATCTAGCAAGTTATACGTTTTTAAGTACATTTAGGTAATTAATCGGATCGTGTTAATGCGTTCACACACTATAATTCTGTATTTATAGTGGAATATGTGTTTTTTATTGCTCAAAATTGTAATAGTTACAAACAGCGGCTTCTTTGCACGTGTCAGAGCCCACGGGATTTGTATATCGTTTTTCTAGAACATTGCACTCATTAAATCTCTGCTTAAATATTTGACGGCACAATTCTCACTGAAATGAGACTGTAACTGCACGTAGGTTTGGTGCAGTTGTTTCCAAAAGGAGGGCACGACAGCACAACTTTTATGTGCTTGATTCTTCAATATAATTATATGACAATGCAGATATTTGTTTTGTTCAGTAGACGACTCATAGGAATACATTATATAAGCAGTACACTCATTTCAAACAATGATAATTGGAATTTACCGCAAATAAATGATCACGAATTGGATTGAAATTAATTCAGGAAGTTGCAACTACACCTTTTTCCTTTAAATGTGATACGCACTAAATTGAAGGAACCTTGTGAGCAAGATTACTACTTCTGCTAATTAATGCGTGACTTTCTTTTACCTGTTGACGTCCTTATTCCTAAACAAAGTATTTCTGTTTAATTGCTTTGGTTAATTATGTTGACTAGTGGATATAATGAGAATGAAAAAAATAGGCCATTTAAAAGTGTTGAAGATCAGATGTGATATGAGAGTGTAGATAAACGAGTAAATGTCTATAATTAGTAGGAAAACCTTTGAAATAATATGAAAAAGTTAATATCAGCAAACGCAAAAGTAAGTCAAAAACAGTCTAATGATTGGGCAAAACCCTGGTTGACTAATGCGGGAATTTTGAGTGATCATAATAATCCTATTTTCCATATGAATATTCTATTTGTGCAGTTCAATACCAATTCAATAGTGATTTAGGAACGTAAATACGTTATTTGCTGTGTCAATCATTAAAACTGTAAAGGTTTGAAAATGCACACAAAAAAGCCGCAAAAGGCAAAAGTGCAGAAAAATAGCACTTACCATTGCCGCTGGACATTTCTGTATCCAAATAATGCATGGCTGCAATTTTAGTCTTCAGTACTGCAAAAAAACTATTAAAAGTATCCTAATGTTAAATCATGGAAACAGACATCTCAAAATTTCTATTTCTAAAATAAAAAATTCCGCTTTCTAAAACTGAGCGATTTTTCATTTAAAAATTGTTGCAAATTTTTCGAAATCCTGATGGATCAAATCTCGCACTTTCATATGCATTCACCATTTGACAATCTGTTAATTCCAGAAAGGAACATGCAGAAACGGACATTTATGACACTTTTTTGTTTGAAATTAATTAAAAATAGACCATAGGGAGAGTTTTTCGAGGTTTTCCACCACGGCTTAAAAACCTAATTTTTCAAATTCTTTAAATTCAAAAAGATTATAAACAACCAAATAATGCAGTCAAACATTCTCTAAAGTCGAATCAAGTGAATTTCGTATCTACACTTTTACCAATGTGCAAAGTAACTAATCAGCGATAATCTCAAAGTTTAACAAATGTAGATCTAAAGAAATGTTCCGCACAATCTATGCCATTCTCCACTTCACCATTTTTATACCTTTTCCTGGTAACATTCGCATAGAAGAGGTTGTCATCTATTTAGAAGCGATTTCTCGATTAAGGCTCTGAAGGCGAGAAAGTGCCGCAATAATTTGTATTTGCCTTAACAAATCCGATGCCTGTAAGAAAAAATATCAGAATCACCTTTCACTGGTCAGATCGTCGCTTATTTCTCAATTCCCATTTCTTCGTTAGTTATTATTTGAAAACAATGCTAATTAATTGTAATTAATGCCGTAAACATTTCAACGAAGATGGCGCAATCGAGTTGCTGTGAAAGGCCTTTTACTTTTATGTAAAAAATATGTTCTAAACTTTTTATAACTACTGGATATTTTTTACATCGAATTAAAACAAATAGAACTTCAAGTCAATAGGGAAACCATTTATTATAAACAAATAAATTATTATTCAGCCTTCCAAGGAAAATAAATAAATATATATTACTATAAATGTTACCTAACTATCTTAGTGTTAGTGCGAACACCGTTGTTGTATAAATAATTTAACAAATGTACATCACAGATTTCCTAAGTATACATTAAATGTATATGAATATTAAATGCAACATTAACAATAAGTTAATTCTAATGTTCTACACAATAACTATACACCCAAAATTCAAAGCATATAGTTTTATATTAGACCCAATGGGACCATTTGTACCTAAAGTACATATTTGCTAAGTGGAATAATTGTTAACATCCATAGTATTAAAATCTCATAAAAAAAAACAGTGAGCTAATAACGGCATTTTCATCGCCCCACGAAATAAATTGCCTTTTTCTCATGTCACGAACTACCCTGTGCTCGTCTAATATCCAACACAATTAAAATAGATAAGCAATAAAAACTTCACCAAAATAGTCCAATAAACTAGTTGGTGGTTGATCGAATATTACCGAATCATTTGCCTAAAATCATCCAGCTTGTAGATACTGGTAGACAACCGTCCAATCGCATTCAGAAGGGAAACAATCTCGTTCCTCTGCAGCTGCATGTCTGTTTTATTCACCAATTTTCCCGACCCATCGTAATCGAACTTTCCACTAAATAAAATTTTCAAAGCTGTACCCAAACCTTGCGTCTGTAGTTTGCCCCACAGCCTACACTTATCGCATCCCACACAGTCCATTATTCTGGTAATGTTTCGGAAATGCTGCTTGAACTCGTATTTAAGTTTCTCAGCTTCTTTACTTCCCCTGAACATGGTGGTTTCATCGAAATGTTCAGGAAATTTCTTTATGACGGAAAGTAGGTCTTTTATCGCCATTTTCGTATCGTAATCTTCAGAATCATCGCCTGAAACAAAACTAGGTTTGTCAGATTTTTGTACAGTTAGTGGTAAATTTAATAGGAAAGTTGTAAATTTTTTGAACCAGAGTGAATAACCAATTTTTTAATGGATTTATGGATGTACTTTTTCAGTTTTACTCTCTTCTCTTTCTACTTTTAAACAGGGAATGGCATGTGAAGACTAATTTTGAAATTTACTGCTGCAATTATAATGAACTTCACTTTTTATTATTGTTTATTTTCATCGAAAAAAACCATCAAAAAATTCGATCAATAAGTTTTATTACTGCTTTAATAATATTCAGTAGGTCATAAAACTGATAGAATTTAGAATAAAAAATTATCAAGTATCCTACTACACATCGAAGTGGACTTTGTGCGAGCCAGTTTAAGTTGGCATGTTTTTTGTAAAAAAATGCCACTGTTTTGGGCTAATGCCCAAATTATTATCGTAGAACTGCGATTCAAGTATCGTAATACCTTATGACGATGGAGATAAAACTAAAAAAGGCAAAACATATGGATCAATTAATAAATGAGCGTTTTCACAGCTAATCTCCACGATTAGCAGATCTATTATAATGGGTTTTAAGTCACTGGTGTTTGGATATTTTACGACTGTAACTATTAGATCATATGGATGAGTTAATTACAAGTAATGCTCGTCAAAATATTGAAACACTTTAGTTCCCTAATGACAACTTACCACCAATTACCCAACAAAATTTGCTTCTTAATGACCCTACTAACCTGTGTAGAAATTCTCTCTTTCCAATAATGGGGCTGCTTTTGCAATGGCTCTAAGCTCCAGTAAATAAACGAAGTACAAATTCCTCAGCCAATTAGGGCCCTCGCCATTGGTCAATTCTGGTGAAAACCGCCGTTTGAACTCATCCAATTTTGGGCCCCATTCTCCGTTTGGGTCCTTTAAAGATAGCCCATTTCTGCCAGACAGCAAATACTTCGCCGAAAGGTGGATATTGATGCTGGCATGCAACCCGGATACTGCCCTATAGAATGCTCTTTCCTCCAAGCACATGTTATTCAACTTAGCAGCCTGAATGTAAGGATTGAAACTGAAAGTTTCCTTAGGTCTAAAGCAGTTTTCCAAGTAGATACTGCGCCATACTCTGTGAGCGGATTCTCCGGCATATCCGGTGAATCTTTCAGGGTTTAAAAGAAGGTCCACATACTCTGCACCTTCTCCTTGGTCATCTTTAATGCAGAAATTGTCCAGAGCATCGTCGTGAGCGGCCCATTTTTCCATGTCATGTTGGGCCTTCTCACTAATGGTTTTGTTGAGATAACCGAGATCCTGATGCTCATTGCAGCTTTCTGGGCCTGCAGTGTATTTATTGTGATTGCTGGCTGTTCTTTCGCCTTTTAAACCTACTGGGATGGCATTTTCTTCGCAATATTCTACATGACAATACCGCATAGCACAGCCACCATCATCCACCCAAAACGGACAGGGACGCTTGAGGTTTACCTTAAAAAATCGGAAATAATCCTTCACAAGCAGACTCTGCAATCTAGGGTAGATTTTCACGTTGTTAAAACTGTCCACTGTATCAATATTGCAGGAGCATTCGTCGATTTTGCCTTCCAACTGACAAAAACAGTCATCGTGCTCGTGAGATTTCTGGGGCTGATTAAAGAAACCGAAGCACTGATTGAAAATGAGCGCACAAGTTATCACCTTTAAACAATTTACACTCAACATTTTCGCATGCCAACACTCTCATCGCGATAGAGAAATGATAAATTTGGGACACCGGCAATTTTATATATCCATACCAAATTCTTATGGGGAAAGTAGTCTAGCGAACTGAAAATTTACACGTAAACAATCACAGAATCGATCCGAACAGCTGTTTGTTGTCAAATGCCCAATCGTTTGCGCATTCTTACTGTCGGGCTGTATTTTTCTTTGTCTGTCGCGTGCGCTTGATAGACAAAGCCTACTGTTTGGAATATATGGACTTGGTGGGTGGATGTAGCGTTACCGATAAACGTCAAACGCAATATTTGTATGTTGTGGGAGGATAATAAAAAGCCCACTGGGGATTGGTCTAAATTTATATCATCGTTATTTGTTTAAGAGATAAATTTGGGAAACATGTAAATTATCGATATGCGGTAGATACTAATGCATACAGTGGCTGAGAAACGTGCTGATTGACATGCATTGAAGGCTGTAAATTCTATATGGTGCGAAAAATACCAGAGGTTGGTTCTTTGTTGAAAAATCTCAAAGATTCAGTACAATTCAAATGCGAGCGATTGGTGAAACTTTATATTGATTTTATTAAAAAATAAAAAACAGGAAAAGTGTTGCACATTTTATCCGTTTTTTCGCAAAAAACACAAAATTCAATGTAAAATAAATGCCTGTGGAGAGCCAGGAGTTCTATCGCAGCCGGTATTAGAGAGTATTTTTTCTAAATCATAAATTTTTTAATTATTTATGACATTTATTTAACAAAATGACGTTATAAGAAAGTCGAATAAATCGACAACCACCAACTTGACGTTTTTGTAAGAATGGCTGCACTATAAATTCTTGAGTTGCAATAATTAAAATTTAATTTTTTTGTATCGTAAAAGTTTATTTGATAAAACAAATATTTGGGAATTTTTTAAATAATTGATTATTTTTACGTCGTTGCAGAGATTTTTCGAAAGTTCAGTTAACACATTCACATTTCAATTATTTGTGGAAAAGCGGAAAATATGCCGGAAGTGTCTTTTGATCGCGGTAATGCTTTGCGATTTTGATTTTAAAAAACTGTTGCTTTTTCGCACTTTTTCAACGCGGTGTTTCCCTAAATGGTTTACTAGCAACCTCTTATTTTCTAGTTTTTCACTTCGGTTTTAAAACACTTGGTATAAGAAAAATAAACAATGTCGAATGTTGCACCATATTTTAAAATATTGCTGTTAGTTGCTTCATTTTCTTTTCAAGTGTTTCCTAAGCAACTTCTACGTACTGTATTTAGTACAGCTATATTATCTTTCTCATCATTTTTGCTTGTCCACTATAATCAAAAAACTCAACGTTTTTCCGTCTATTTTAGGGATTAAAACGTTTTTTTTCGATGTTTACAGAGTTATTTTTTAGGTTGACAAAATATTATTTCTTCTACTATTTATGCAGTGATTCCTTTAATAATAGTTCAATAAGTACCTAAATTCTAAGGCAGTACTGCGAAGGTAATTTTAATGGGGTTATTTGCAAAAAAATCTTTTGCAAAAACGGTTAAAGCAGAAAATTGAAAGTTGGTACATGGTAAAAAATAAATTAATTAAATTGAATCGTGCAGCTTTGCAACTGGTTTTCTTTAAAAACCTTTTTCTTACCTCAATTTATTTAAAAAATATATATTTACTTTGTCTGCTGGATATACGATTCGGGTACATATCAACTGCCGTTCATAAAAGCCGTAATAAACTCATGTATTTTTCGCAATTATTTGTGTTTTTGTCATTATTATTTAAATATTCCTGTGGTGAACAGTTTAAATTGTCGTAGGTTCTTTTCTTCAATGTTACCAAGCAAAATATGAATATTGCAATTAGTTTTAGCAGAAAATCCGAAACGGATCTTTTAAAATTACATTCAAACGCTTAATTTTCTATAAACGCGACAGGATTTACTAAGAAAGCGAGTCAATAATTGATAAACGTACTGATTATTATTTAGCAATTTGCAATCCATTATCGTTTAGCAATTTGAACGCTCTAAATTATAAATTATACAGAAAGTTATATTGTATCTAATGCTTTAAACTATGAATTTCCGTTAGAGATTTTCGAGTTGTTTGTTTTATTGCCATATAATTAACCCTCTTCCTATTCTTTATTCGCCAATTTGGCCTTTAATATTTAAATGTTGTGATTGTGTGATTTTGACTTAATTTTTCTTTTCGTTCAACAATTTTATCTGATTTTCGCTAAATAGTTATTATACATTCTTTTTACGTTTGAAAACAGTTACAGTAGATTTTTTCAAATCTGAAATGCGTCTCTATAGGTAATATAATTTCTTAAATAAAACTTGATGGAATTCTTCCTTAGAAGCTCTGTTGAATCATTATAGCAAAAAATTACCCCTTCTTTAATGGATTTCATTCTTCAACCTTTGTATTTTTTATATTTTTCTATCAGTAAATTTTTTTAAAACATATTTTTCAACCCATGTAATATTTTACATAACGGTAATTTTTTTCAGATTTAACACCAATCGAGATGGATATCTCAGCTTGAATGAATTGAAGCGCATGATGGAAGTTCTTGGAGCTCCGCAAACCCACATTGGTTTGAAGCAAATGATCAAAGAGGTAGGAATTTTCGAAAACGCTTTCTGAGCTTTTAAACCCTATTTAAAAAATGTAATGTAATCTAATATCAGCGTTTAGATTTGCTGATAAAATTGTAAAAACGGCCTCTATAGTTTTTGCAAGCTTTAACATCTACAGGGTGTGCTTTATAGGTTGTCTTCCGACGTCTTTATTTCGATGATTAATTTTTTTCTGAGCGAGTTATTTTGGCGCAAAATAGATTTGGCAAAATTGCATAAAAATCTTCCTTATTCTTCTTAATAACTGTTAAGAAATTACGTACGCATTTAAAAATATTTTTTTAATTATGTGTGTTATATTCTTAGGTCGATGAGGATAACGATGGACGTCTTTCTTTTCACGAGTTTATGCTTGTTTTTCGCAAGGCACGAGCCGGTGAACTGGAAGATGAGTCTGGGTTAGCCCAACTTGCCCATTTAGCTGAAATCGACGTTCCTAAAGTTGGTGTTAATGGCGCCAAAGATTTTTTTGAAGCCAAGGTAAATCAAATAATTATCAAATAAATTAAAAACGTTAAATAATGGCTTCTTTATTTACAGATCAATGAACTGACGAAAAGAAGTAAATTTGAAGAAGAGATTCGCCAAGAACAGGACGACCGGAAGCGGATGGAAGAAGAAAAGACGATGAGGCGCCAGCAGTTTTTGGAGAAGGCATCGATTTTCAAATGTTCTTAATCTATTACCATTAATTAAATATCTGCTTTACCTGTGCTGTATTTTTTGAGTTATGTTATGTTATATTTTTAGACTGATTATTTTTATTAGTGTTAAATGTATCTGTAGATTATATTCCGGACTTAGCTCTTGGAAATTAGCTYTAGTATTGGCTATAAAGCTGCAAATATGTAGGAAYGTAATATTTGAATTTTTATCAAAATGTGACGGACTATATTTTAAAACATATATTATAAAAATGTAATTCAGCGARAGTACTAAATTATGCATGGGCTAGTTGGCTGTAATTGTACATATCTAAAAATGTTTTTTGTAGAATTATTATAATAGCGGGTTAACTATTTTTTWAAATTTAAATACATTTTATGTTAAAAGCTGTGACATTTTTACTGTGAATAAAGATTTGGACTTATTTCCACAAAACGCATAGGGTGTTTTTCTATGTGTGCTTACACGTAGTCTTGGGCAGCCTCAATCTGCAACGTGAATATTTAATAATATTTCAATTGTAGTAAAATTCCAATAAAAGTTATCGAAGCGTTGATGATATACAGGCCAATTCAAAATAGGAGTAAATTTTATGGATGGTGTGCAGCTGGATGCTTAGAAATTTTTTCATTTATTTCACTTGCTTAAAGCGGAAGTATTTGCAAAGAATTAAACTTAAAATATTGCAACCGTGCAACTTTGGCACACGGAAACACACACCAACGAGTTTTTGAATAATGATTATAAACTATTTGAAATGGCGTTTTCTGAAAAAGCTTAACACTTGTTACATGTGAATAAACGCAATTTAAAATCTTATGTCATAATTCGAGGAATGAAAAAATGCTGGTGCAACTCTGTTGTCATACAAGGCGATAAAAAAGGTGCTATGAGTGTCAAAGCTGGTCCTTTCCAAACCTTCCAGGGTTATTTGAAGGGTTTTACACGGTTCACATCACATGAAAAATTTGTTTGGCCTGGTGATTCAATACTTCACGAACGAAATTAGAACGAGTACGAAACCTCATTCCATTCAGCCTTTTTCAGAGTCAAGTCGGACACCCTGTATATTTAATATTTATTAGTAGGTACACTGATATAAAATTTAAAGTAAATTTTGATGTTTTAATTTTATAATTACTCCTCCGGATCAATAATTTCGTAAACAGCAGCAAACAAACAAAAACAGATCTGACTAAGGTCATACTCCTCATCTATTACTACTACATATGTTTGCCCTCAGCGGCCATATCCGGTGACGTAGATAAAATGATTAAATGCTAACCAATTTTGAAGATTATAAGTTAATGACTCAGATCAGGCTTTTTTAACGATAGGAGTACCAGGCCTTTTGCTTTCAAGCTGCTTTTCAACATATATTTTTCAATTTTTTTTGGTCTTTCTCTTGCAAGTTGAGATAGTTCCTTCTAGCGAAGACATCCATTTTCATTCACCCTGTATATACCACCCTGCACCATGTTTCATACGTGTGTTCAACTACTTTAATGATTGAAAATATTAATCAAAAGTGCACATACTTACATATTATTTAAACAAACTACAGAGAAATAACACTTCTGTTTTGAAATAAATTTTGTTTGAGACATTCCATTAAACAGAGAAAACGCTAATATAAAAAAGGATGCAAACTTATCTCAGCCTATCAACAGCACATATACTTGTGCCCCATCCTCTTTTTCTATTGGCGCGTACTCTCTCTTGGTTTACTTAAATTATTTTACTTACTCTATGAACACAACCTTATTTTTTGTCTGCTGATTTTATTGTTTTGACGTTGACTATATTTTGTTCGAAGTGGAACGAATCAGGCTTAAGCCTGTTTAAGCCATTAGAAATGAAGCTTTAAGCAGCTTATTTAATTCTTTGTTACCCCAACTGAGAGCCCAACCAATCATGGTGGATCTCAAGAAAGACCTGGATGAGTATCTCCTTCTGCAAAGCGACCAGAAGAAGAGCTTTAAAATAACAATGCCAACTGTACCCTTAACAAAGCCGAATATTTCTGGATGGTTTAAGAGAGGGCAACCCCAGGACGACGAGTCGTGGTTTCAAGAGAAAAAGAAAGAATGTTGCCCAAGTTTAGTATGTTTCAAAGCTTCAGTATTAATTTGAACTATGTAGTACCGAAAAACTAATACTTTTTCTTTGAACTATTAACTTATGTTATCTTAGCTTATTGTTCGATATCTTTCACTGCTGCATAATTACTTTATTTCAACATTATCAAACTGAAGCAATAAAATGCCCTTTTTTGTAGACAAGATTCCAAAGAATTGTACTCTTTGCCATATGTATAGGAATGGGGATACTGTGCTTTTCCCTATCCTTGATGTACCTGCCTGTATTACTGTTTAAAGCCAGAAAATTCGCTCTCCTGTTCACTTTAGGAAGCTTATTTTTTGTATCTAGGTAAGTGTGATGATCTGATGAATTAGACCTTATTATGAGGCGATGAGGAATATCAAATTCAAATTATCAGGCAGAAGCAAGAAAAAAGTATAATTTTAGACATTGGAATTTTATTTTCAGCTTTTTCTTCCTATGGGGTCCCATTGCATATCTAAAACACATGTTCACTCGAGAACGAATAGTGTTAACTTTAACTTATGGAGGTACTTTGATTGCGACATTATACTGCGCGTTGCATTTGCAAAGTACGCCATTTACTGTGCTTTTCGCAGTTGGACAAATAATATCTTTATTATGGACAGTGATATCTAACATTCCTGGAGGAACCACCGGATTATCTTTCTTCTCAAAGATGTTTACCAGATCTGTGGGAGGTGGAAGCGCATTACCGATTTAGCTGATGAAAGAATAAACGTGATTTCATTTATTTATAAAATGTACATTGTTCAGAATTGGATTTACGGAGAATAAGCCGCGAGTGGTTCCAAATGAAAGATATCTGTTGAAAAATTGATCATCATTTGCTCAATTAGGTCTGCATGTTTCAATAACACAATTAGTAAGCTTTAGAAAGCATGCATATGATATCCACCTATCATTACTAGGAACTCGGTTTTATATTTTTTTATTGTTATGTGATTAGTAAGTGAGCAAAAAGTTGAGTGAGATAATAAATCTATTGATAATTGTTTCACATTTTTATTAACACGCACTTACGAAAATCGTACAATTAACAAATGTTTTTACTTATGATCCTTTGTGGATTTCCTACTCTCTCGCTTAGGGGATCTGTAGCTTCTGCTTGAAGAGGTTTTTGAGGAGCGTCCATTATCATGCCTCGCATTGGTTCGTGATCTAGAGCGGCTTCGTCTCCGCTGTGAAGAGCTGTAATACCTCTTGTCTCTACGTGGAGACATGTTCCTCTTCCGCCTCTCATTCTCATATGTATCACTGTCGGATGAGACGCTCCTTTTTCTATTTCGATGCGGGGACCTGCTTTTCCTTCTGGATTTGGTTCTTCTATTCGAGTCATGTATCGGCGATCTATCTTGCCTGTGTCTCAATGGAGATCTGCTTCGCCTTCTTTCTTTTCTATCCACTTGATCTCTGTCAGAGCGATTCTTAACAGTATAGTTGCCGTTACCAATATCCTGATTGGCCAATTTGCTTCGATTACCCTTCTCATCATAATGCCTCACGCCCCTGCCCTTTCCCAACCACTTCACTTTAGAGACACTTTGGCTGAAATCCACATGTATTCTTCTGTCGTCTATCAGCACATTGCCCATTTTAAAATAGGCATCTTCACAAGCCTTTTGTTCCTCAAACTCAATGAAAGCGTACTGAAGCGAATCGCCCGATTTTCGGTCTCTTATCACTTCGCAAGATTTGATTTTTCCAAATCGGCTGAATATGATCTCCAAATCATCGTCCGATGTCACAGGGTTTAGTTTGCAAACGAACAACACATTTTCTGGAGGCGCCATATCGGCATCCGGAATGTCGCCCACCATTTCCAATATTGTGGCTCTTGCTTTAGCCTCTCGTTCTGCCTGCATTTCCGCAACTTCTTGAGCCGATCTACCTGCAAAACATTTTTCATTAATTACTGTGATCTATTATCCAAAAGATTTCCGTGTTTTACCGGAGGTCTCGTCAATTTCCTCATCTGGGGCAATTCTGCCTCCGGCCAGCCTTTCGGCGCTGGGTGACGGTGACCTGGAAGGCGCCCGGAATCCATCGGGATCAGGATATGGATCGTCCAATACCACCGTATGAGTGATCCGAACATCTTGGTAAGGCCGATCATCCTTGTCGCAAATTACTTCGTTTATGCTCTCCAAAATATCGAGACCTTCCACAATTTCTCCAAAAACGCAGTGCTTTGGATCTAAGTACGTGAGATCAGCGCCTAATGTAACAAAGAATTGGGAACCGATCATGTTATCCTCACTTCCTACAAAGGAAATTAGGCCGGCTCGAGTGTGTTTAATTCTAGGTTCGGTTTCAGCAGCAAAATACCTGAAAAAAACACAGTTTAGAGAAATTATCACAGCTATTGTGAGGAATAGTAAGTAAGTAAGTTTGTTGTCCTACTGGTTAGTATTCATTCTTTTGGGTTTATTCTTATTGCTGCTTACCTTTTGGAAGGGCCACTTATCACTCCAAAAATCGATTCTCCCTTTGTGCGGGTTCCAGTCGGATCTCCAGTTTGAGCAATAAAGCCTCTGCTGATTGTGTGAAACAAGTTGAAGTTGTAGTACTTGAACTTACACAGCTTGAGGAAGTTCAAACAAGCCCTGGGCCGTTCTATCAAATACAAATCGACTGTAATGTCCCCAAGTGTGGTCTCGATAACCACAGACATGTTTAGGATTAATGGAAAATGAGTTTTCGACTTGAAATCTTTAAAGGGATGATTGAGTTATTTTTGTTTTTCTCATCTTGTCTCGAAAACTAACCGCAAAAATGTGACTATAATCTGACAAGTTTAGAAGGACGCTCTTCTCTTCTTGCGATCTGCGCTCAAGCGGCTGAAGAAACATGGCAACTGTGGTCAGAGACCCGAATATATTTTATGCTTTTAAAGCGCAGTTAGTTTACTCCCAGAAACAGTATCTATACTGAAATGAAAATGCATATACTTTCACATAATTATAAAAAATTGTATTCAAATCAAAATTTTAAAATTCTTCAAAATTTTCGCCGCACATTTCGGCGAATGAACTTTTGCAATGCTGAAAGAATTTTCGTTTCATTTAGACACTGAACGGATAAGTCTTTAATTGAAAAACATTTTGTATGTGATGGGAATAATAGAAAATACAATAAAGCAAATAATTATAAGCAGAATGTTCAAAAATGGTTACCACATATGTTCTGGACATTTAAGCGATTACACGGTGAAATGTTGATGAAATTGAATGAGACTACTAGCAATATATAATATACAAAATAAATAAATAAAAATTATTAGAATTTTTATAAAAATTTTGATCTCGAAACCAAAGAGGGGCTATTGTCGCTCTAAACCGTCGACCAAATTCAGCACTTTTGTCATGAACGACGAAAGTCCAAATTGCGCCAAGACGATAAAAAATCGGGAAATACGTGAGTCTCATAGAAATGCCCCAAGTGATATTATTTATTATTCAGAATTGAAATCCGCCCATGTGTGATTGGGAGGGCCGAATATTCGACCTCAAACTCCTGATATGTGGACAATCTTGGAATTTGGCGTAGAAGGGGATATAATAACTGCTTTATAAGAATAATTTAGTAAATGTCGTACATGAAAAAAAAACATCAATCAATCAATGGAAGAAAGATAAAATAATGATAATAAATGATGAATAAAAAAATGTCTTACGTGTTTCTTGTTAATGTCTGTTTCTTCCAAATCTTAAACATTTTTCTGTCCGACATTTATGTAAAACATACACATATTTTAATATAAAACAGAGTTTTTTTTTATAAAATAAAACAAAAATGGATGCCATTTTTTTGTCAGTCATTTCTGAAAAATGCCATAATTGTCAATGTCCATCCGTCATTTTCTGTGCTTGTCACAAAAGTGACACATTAAACTCAGAGTTTGACAGTCGTCAGTTACCAAAATTAATAAGATTATGATAATGATATTTATTGCACACAGATATCAGATTACTTTCATTTACCATAAATATGTGCACGTATATGACACCTTGCTACCTGTACACTGGAAGCATTTTATATTCAATTTCAAATACATGAACCATTAAATATGCAGTAGGTGTCCTGCCTACAGTTCGCACCATTTTTCACTTTTCGTTTCCGAGGTTCGCGGAGTATATTTAAATAAAATAAATATGCCTCACTGCAGATGGGGAACAAAAGGGAATATTTTATCATCTTTTCTTTTCTTTATTTTAGGTATACTTTTCACATAGATGCATAATTTTAAAGTGTGATATACGGTTCAGAGCTGGAACCTCAATAAGCAATTTACTGATAGATAACTAGCAGCGCCTTGCTTCAATATAGGGATGGTTATGATTTTTCGTCAATTTATGAAAAAATAATGGAGAAGTCTGTATATGGAAAAAGGTGAACGAATCGGCATTATATGGCTACTGAAGAAAATAATTAAGGATGCCAAATAAACCAGTAGGTAAATTGCAGAAAACGCTCAATTCATAACGTAAGCAGAAAGTATAATAGAGCCAGAATTAGTTCCCAGTGCTTGCATATATCGCGCAAATTGTAACTAGATATATTTTCGAACAATTTTTGCTCCTTGTTTCATCATCCAAGTGTGCTGGATCCAACATCTCATTCCTTTGCGTCTTTATATAATTAGGAAAAGTCTCCCCTGAGGTTGTCTCATTAGCAAAGAAAACAAAAAGATCTTTTAAGGCAGAGTTAAAATAGGGAAACGGATTAAAATCGGGAAAAGATATAATCAGGACGGCATACCTATTATTTAAGATTACGGGATATTTCCACGGGGTGGATTGCAGATTAATTAAAAAGTATATAAAATTCTCATTGGTTATTTAAAGGGAATCTGACTCACATAGAAAAAATATATATTTTTATAAATTGAACCGAATATTTAGATCTGTCTTTTCTTAAAGACACTTTTCGAAAGAGGCGTTTATGGCAGGTTTGCGTTCAATGGGCTCTAACGTTTTAAAAATGATAACCTCTGAGAAATCAACTGCAACTCCAAGCAAGAAAAAACACACTATTTAAAAAAAGAAAAAAAAATGGGGGTTTGAGGTCAAGAAGCATGTTATTTATTATACAGGGTTATCCATTTTATGCTTGGGCAAGTAAAAACAAAAAAAACACAAAATCTTCAGATGGAGACGCAAATTTTAATTCAATATAAAGATTAAACCTTGTCTTATACGTGAAAAACAATATCATTTAAATGTCCTCCACGGGACCTCCTATAGGCCTCAATGCTTTTGAGGTAATTTTGAATTACTTTTCGGCACATTATCGGCAGGGGCGGATCCAGCTTTAAAGTCAGGGGGGGGTTATGTAGAAAAAATACAGTCTTCTGTTGTTTATGAAATTAGAAAAATGATCCTCGTTTTGTGCAAGGGTGGCGCAAGATTATCGCAAAATTTCATGTTTTTCGTTCGGTTTTGCATGTTTCTCGAAAGCAAAATGAGCAAGAACGCTCGTTTTTACATCATTCCAGAGATAACTAAATGGTCTTTATTCGAAGTTTCTCAACAACCATTCGAGTCACAGAATTTGTTTTGGCATCGTTTGATAGAGAATTGAAAAGTCCATTCAGGACGTAACAACGTTAGTGAGGAAATTTGAGTAGTTTTGACCCAGAAAGCGAAATTTGTTTTTGCTCAAATCTCGGAGGCAAAATGAGCAAGAACGCTCATGTGTACATCATTCTAGAGAGAAATAAATGGCCTTTTTAGAAAGTGAACCATCGATAAGGAAATGTTGGCAGTTTTCTGGCAGTTCAGTCTCTTCAAATGCTTCCACTGTGTTCGAAATTGTTTGCTCTGTGGGTCGACCGTAATCTGTTGATATATCAGAATCACCATTTTTATAGCATTTAATAATTTTTACGCATTCTTCGACAGTTACACCCGGTATATGTAAATTTTCTTTACATAGAGTAAAGAACAATATTTGGATTTTGGAGCTATAAATAACTTTATTTAGAAAGCCAAAATATTAAAACACATTTTCCTGTTGCCTACTTAGATCATTTTCGGTAGAAAAAGTTGACCCATTCAAGCCTACTTTTGATAGAATTTTTACTCCGTTACTGTATTCCTTGGCCCATATTTTCACGTTGGCCCTTCCGTAGCGTAAAGGGTGAAACAGGGGCGAGATATTATGTGACAAATTGCACATCATTGAGATGACGAAGGCTCGCAACAGCAGGCTGTTTAAAGCGGGTTGGAGGCAAAGGGGGCGCTAAGAAAAGAGGTGTAAAATGGAGTATTTAGTGAAATAAAAGGGATTTGAAGTTTTCACTTACTTGCGACTTAAATCCATTTGCCTAAAGGGGTGATTGTTTTAGTTGTCGCGGGGGTCGATTAGAGGGTGAAATGTGGCACTCGGAATTGCCACGCAAAGACTTTAGTCGTCACAATAGAATATTTTAGACGAATAATTAAGCTTAGAGCGACTGCTTGAGTTTTAAATGATTGTGTGAATGTACATTAGCGTGTATTTTTGAATGATGATGACGAAACGAACTTTGAGCTTGAAATAAAATATTAATTAAGAAACTGGTCGGCCCTCACACACTGCTGGCGCTCAGCGGAAAAACTTTCTAATGGGTGATTATTAATTCAGGCTCGATTTTTCTTGGATTTTTCGAGTGGCGTTCGCCTTTAATAGACGTTGATGGGGGTTGAGAGGGTTGAAAGCAGTGGTGTGAGGGATCTGCATGAAAAGAGAATTAAAGTGCGAACTAAAATCTACACACTTCAGCCGAGTGATATTTTTGAGCATGTAGTATTTATGATGCAAACAGGGAGCATGGGAAAAGTTGAGAGTAATTAATATTTACCGGATATCTTTTGAGAATAATTGCTAATTGAAAATGGAAATTGGAATTAATTATTCAGAACAGGGCCAGTGTGCTTTAATCCTACAGTTAGTTGAATTTGAAATTTTTTTACTATCGGTAGCGCACGTTCACAAATATTTTCATTTCTTGTTATATTTAAATTACCTGTAGTTGAAGTACATTTGTTTTTTCGTATTTTTATTTGCTTGTTTAACTACTACCTGCAAAGTGTTTGGGTGTTTTTACTTCAAGCACTAACGTTTTATTTTGTAATACTCACAGAATTATTCAGATTTAGCGAAGTTATATAAAGTGCATGTACAAATTGGATTTTATATTTATAGAGTAAGATACCTTCTTAAAAAGTAGGAATCCAAGATAGGAAAATAACAAGAAAATGCTTCTTATGCTTCAAGGGAAAGGTAGATAAAATTTGATTAATATGGGAAATTATGCAGGGTAAATTAGCATGTTGTGGCTTTGTGATAGTAGTGCGTTATAACGTAAACTTATAAGTTTTCCTAAATATTACCTATTTACTTATTAAAAGGCAAAATTAATTTATTCCTGAATCTGCAGCAATCGTCGGTTCCAACCCGAATAATTCATGAAATACAAGTTAATTTCTTTACTATCTTATTCTTGAATCCTACGCGAAAAAGGTTTACAGTGTGCATCGGTAATTCTACTATTTTCAATTCAAAACGGTGATTATATTATTTTATTAAGTTTTTTGGGTAAATTTTCATGTTGTTAGGTAGTTTTAAAATTTAACCATCTAATGGTTTGAGTGCTGTGGCCTTCAAATCGTTCGAATCTAAACATCAGAACAGTGAGCCTAATGAATATTAAATCATGTTTAAGTCCGTATAAAATTTTATTGATAAGAAGTTAACGAATTTTCAAGCACGCTAACACGGAACGTTTGGCTATTATTAGTCCGCCTGGCGTTCTTCAAACCCGTT